ACCATTGGAAGTATAACTCCAGCCTGAATTAAAGACTGTGGCCGTTATGAGGTCTCACGCTTGCGGTTTTGAGAAAAAGTACCCCAAAAATGGCGTCATCGTGAGAAAGGCTAATTAGACAACGACTCCGAGTTGTCTACGAGCGAATAGTCAACGAAAGCGAAGCCTGAGTTGACTATTCGCTCATAGACATAGACAACGAAGGCGAGTTTTAGTATACACCCTGCACCTACATACATTAATCTCGAGAAAATAATCGATACACCGCAATTACACTGAAAAATAATTTAATTAATTCAATTTTATACGATCGCGCGAGCGAATTTTTCCCAAACGTTCACCATCACGAATAGACAATGGTTGAGTAGCCAATCAGAATGTAGGATTTTTAATAGACAAGAGTCGGGTGTATACTAGATAGATAGATAGATAGATTTAATAAAATGAACACTTTGCAGTTATTATATACAGCTGAATTATGTGTTACATGTACATTTTAAAACCTAAGTAGAATACAATAAAGAACTATATACAAATTTATTTGATAGAGAATTCTCTGATACTAGCAGGAATAAAAGATCTTAAAAATCTATTAGTTTTTGCAATTGGTAATTGAAAATTACGCCTACATCTTAAAACGTAGGTAACAGAGTCTCTTGCAGGCAGTAATCTAGAAAGTTTATGTGAAGGGTTGTTAGATATTTGCTGGTAGAGTTTTTCACAGGCTTTACGACGGCGCTCATCCAGTGTTACCAAATTTGATTTTTCCAATCGATCACCATATGGTAGCCCGGGGAAAACTATAGATGTTGCCCTTCTTTGAATACGCTCTATCGCTTCGCTGAGACAAACAGGTAGTGCGAAGTGAAACACTTCGCAGGCATACTCGAGAACAGGCCGGACACATGAGCAGTAAAAGTTAATTATGTCTTTTGGAGGTACTTAGCACGCTTCAATTGGACGATAAAATAAATTCGTTTATTTGCTTTCTTAATAAGCTCTGTAACATGCATGAACCACTTTAGGTCATCACTAATAGTTAGTCCAAGAATCTTCGCATGCCGGACTAACTCTGGGGAACCAGAGTTTAGCTGAACACTGGGGAACTCTTCTCTGATTGTTTGGAATTGAATTAACAACTATTTGCATTTTTTATTATGCAACTGGAACTTGTTTCGGTTAGTCCATGTGACCAATTCGTCGGCCCCTGATTGGAAGTGACTGGGTTGATTCTTTGAGACAATTTCAGATGCTGTCGTGTCATCTATATATTTCCAGTGGTCGAAGTTTGACAAATTTAGATCATTGATCATCAGAATGAATAACCAGGGTCCCAATTTTGTCCCCTGTGGGACCCCGCAGGGAACATTACCCCATTCGGAGAAACAGTCTTTCGCGAGTTTTACTCGCTGCTTTCGATTTGTCAGGAAATCTATTAGCCAGTTGATAACGAAAGGTGGAATTGAGAGCTGGCAGATCTTGTTTACTAATATAGTATGGTCAATTAGATCAAAGGCCTTGCGATAATCAAATAGAAACACTCGAACTGAGTTCCCTGTTCCGCCAGTTGCCTTTGCCCAATTATGTAACATACTAATAAGAGCTAACTTTACAGAGGATCCAGGTATGCCACTGTATTGGTTCACATCAATAGAATCTAGGATGGCCGGGGCGACATACTTCTCGATGATAAAATCTTCCGCCAGCTTGGAAAGGGAACACGTAAGTGAAATTGGTCGCAAGTGTTGATTTATATCATAAACAGGTTTGATCTTGGGAATTGGGGTAACGTTGGCTAACTTCCACGACTCTGGCAGTTTTTGATCTTTAAAGGAACTATTTAGGAGGATCGAAACAAGATATCAATAGATTCGGAATATTATCAGGTCCTGGTGCCTTAGAGGAATTTAGTGATTTCAGTTTTCCGTAAGTTGACCAGGTTGATGCTAAAATCGGAATCTGGTCTCTGGAAGTGTTTATAATATGATCAGTTGAAATAAGCGGCGAGAAGTCTTTCATAGGATCTAAGAAGGAAATGTTAATTAGATTAGCCAATTCTTCAGAAGAGAGCTGATTTGCGTTTTCAATCTGGATACTCTTCCTAAGGGTAGTATTGTTATCATCCATTCCACTAAGACGTTTGACTTCGCGCCACCAGTGCTTAGAATTTAGTTGTTTCAGGTGTTCCACCTTGGAAATATAGAAATTGGCTCGGCAAAGTTTCCTTTGTCTGTTGACCTTATTTCGGTAAAACTTGAAGAGTGTTAGATTGCCAGAAGTAAAGGCACGTTGTCGAAGTTTAATTAAGCTTCTAAGCTTCTCATTAATCCAAGGATGGTCACTATTGTGAACGCGATGACGCGTTTCAGGAATGATATGGTCCAGACCAATAGATAAAATGCTGGTGAAAAGATTGCTCTTATCTTCACAGGTACCAATAGTTTCGAATTGGCTCCAATCAATTTGGTTGAGATAACGCCCAAACATGGTCATACGCGATGGACTCATATTTCTTCTATAAATTACCTTTTTATAGTTCGACTTAGGGTCTCTAGATCTTGGTTTAATTACAATAACAGAGTGGTCAGATAAGCCAAATGGTGGATATGAGAGGGTCTCGTTAGATTGATAAAAGCTGTGTAGGTTAGTGATAACCAGATCCAGGGTGTTCTGTACACGAGTGGGTAATTGGACCAGTTGTTTTAAATGAATTACTAAAACTGTATAGAAACACGCTTCTCGAACAATCAGCACACGCGTACTATAAATGTTATATTATAATTCTATTTAATTCCCTTACAATATTATACATATTGTCACTATTTATCAATGATTTTATAATACAACTAAGATAATGCGAAACGAACGAAATCAAAAGTTATCATCCGACCAAAATTTCGGCCCACGCTGACTGTCTCATTTATTTCTCTACTCCGAGGAAACCAGCGGAAATACAACCAAACTTCTAGCTGAGAAAATTGATACCAGATGTTGGAGAATAAGGTTTTGTTCACAGCCTCACAGGCAGTCAGCTGTACTTTTTCTTCTTGCCTTGGTCCTGTTAAATACTCTGTCAGGTCAGATACTGATATGTTAGCAAAAGGTTTCTAACATTTAGTTACAATGGCTATTGCAAAGCGAAGTATGTATTTTTGAGAGAAAATTGAATCCTGTTTAGGAAAACAATGAGGAGCTTACCTACTGCTGACATAAATATATGGACAAATCTTTATTGAGAAATCAAAGAACGATGGCCCAGAAAGTATAGCATTGAGCTTTAGGATCTGTTCAAAATTTATACCAAAAAAATTAGTGACAATTACAAGTAAGCTTTTTTCATATACGTATAGTAGGTCTGTATACGCAATATTGCATATGGATCAGAGTTACCTCACCTACAAGATGACACGTTGGACCATGGTCCTCCAGCTAGTTGGCTTGCACGTAATGGTTACCATTAATTCTAGATAAATATTAAGAAATATTTTTTATACCTTCTTCATACTATATTATTAAAGTAAATAATTTGGTGTTATTATAGATTGCGAATAATTCAATTCTTTCATCTTATGTAGATGAAAACAAAACTTATATGTATGCGATTGGTGCTGAAACGCAGACAATATCTCACAAGAAACAAGGAAGCCTTAAAGACTGGTAAGTAATAATCAATTAAGCACTATTTACCCAAATTATTATTTTAGTGTGTCTAATGCATCAGATGATATTATTGAACAGGAAACATTAAACAAGGATGAATTTTAAAATGTTGTCAAACAAGATCACTCAATTTAAGGAAGTTGTATGAACAAGGAAACTACTGAAAGAAGTTGTGTCAAGTGATATTTAACATAACTCTTACAAAATTTAGACAATGTGAATCAAAAGGGGGTACTTTTTTGATACACCCTGTATTTTAGAAACTGCAAGGCATTCAATCGATAGCTAGAACATACTTCTTTAACAATATAAAAAAATGACTTCTTTTGTAGTGTAATTCACACAAGTCAATTAGTAAGTCAACCTCTACTATACTATTCTTGCCTTTTTTATTTGACTGCCATATTAATATATCTCACTTATCAGCACAGACAAAATAATAAGCCACCCAAGCTGGTATGAGACCTCACACCAACATCAATAATATTTCAGGTTTATTTGTAAAAATTCATGTTTTATTAGTCTTACATTCCACAATTATGTGACATACATAACATGCAGGCATATCAGCATTAATATAAGCTAGTTTACATGGCATAAGTAGCCCAGAAATCTGTCTGTGACTAAGGCTTCAACTACCGGTACATAATATATCCACACAGACAGTTTAATACTGACTGCAATATTAAACTGTCTGCGTGCATAAACAATGTAGTCGAAGCATGAGTCACAGATAGATTTCTAGGCTACTTATGGCAGTAGTTGGGGAAGAGCATTACGTGAGGGACTAATAATATTCAGTTATTCAAATTTTGCAACCTTAGTTTCTTTTCAAATTTATTGTTTTTACAGTGTTGCCAAAAGTATATAATTATCAAAAATTTTACAACAATGCACACAACAATTTGTTAAGTGTGTGACACATTTTCAAACATTTATATCCTCACCAATGTAAATTTGCAAAGAATGATACTTTTAATTGATATGTTTTCATTTACTAGGTAGAATTGAGTATCATACTTACATATATCCCCATCCATTCTTTATTCTCACTATGAGTTGAAAAATGATATCTAAGGTATAAGGTAAAGATATAGATGACTTATCTAATGTTTATAGTTCATGGTATTTAGTTACATGACAAATTAAATCTGAAAAACTTAAATGCTTTGTTTAAAGTTATACATTGGACACTAATATCTATCATAATTAAGAAATTGCTTTTATCCTGACTTGGTTTTGATACAAGAAAAACATTAATTCAATTTAGAGACTGAGGCAGTGACATAGGTACTGGAGATTCTATATATAGAGCAACATGTCAAACCTATGCCCCTATAACTTAAAAAATATTTAAAATTAAAAGATGACAACATGCATTCCAAGGGTAAAGAGCAGTTAATCACTAAATAAAGCAAGGCAAACGTCATACTGATAGAAATACAATAAAGCTGGGGGGTTTTAATAAATCTGGAGATTGGATAGTAAAATATTGCAAAAGCCATGCAGTTTAAGAGAAACAAAAATTATGGCCTATAGTTTTATTACAGTGCAGAGAGTATGCAAATATTTGAGGCCAAATTGTAAAGTAAAGAAAAAAAACAAAGAACTAGTGTGATGTTGTCTAGCTTAATATTGACGGTCAAAATGGTAAACTGTAAAGACCGTTCTCCATTCGCTTGGCTAAACGTTCCGCCGTATCGTAGATCGAGAAACGTGTACGTAGCGATTATTCGATTGAAATGAAAAATAAGGTCTATTTATATTCTATGAAGTGTTTTTATTCGTCAAAAACCTTGAGAGTTGCGGAATGAGTTGACGCTTGACAAGCTTTATTAATTAATACAGGATATTGTAAAGTAAAATTATAACTGGCATGGACAATTATGAATCATAAACAAAACTATTTGGTATACTCACATAAGCCATAATTCACCAGGTGATTTCAGATTTTCAGTTGCAGAAATTCAATTTCAGTATTGAAAAACATCGTAACGGTTGACATATTCGACAATCTCATTTTGTTACATTGCTCAACGGGTGTTAGGTCCAGGAACAGCGGAAGACGGAAACACGGAACAGCGGAAGCTGAAACAAAAATGATGTTACCGAAACAGCATTGCGAAACACAAAACCACAAAAACAACTTTTTTATAGTGGGCAAAAAATCTTCTGTGATGCTAGGAAAAAAGAACATACAGTAGCTATAATACTGTAAAACAATGATTATGAATATTACCTTTTGCACTCGTATACGACTTTTCAAATCGGTTGCTCTGCTTTATTGCGAAGCTCTAATAACAGACTCTTTATCATACCCGTTAATATTTTTTACACTTGGGTTTTAGCAAAATAGTAAAGTCGTGAATACAGTGTATGTCTGCTGTAATGCTTGCCTCACAGCAAATACCTTGACTTACCTTAATAGTTTTGTACAAATGACGTCTTTTGCTATGCAATGCGAACCTGGAATTGATAATATAAAAACAATAAGTAATTGTAGCGACGAGCTAGAGAATGCTGTTGCATAAGAACAGAGAGGGTCAGACACATTTCTTGGCAATATTATTTGAATAACAGTTTCATTGTACAGCATCATAGCTATCAACCCGATATTTTTTGTCAATATTTAAAACAATGTTTTTGCTGTTCTGTTTTGGATCCTCGCTGTTCCGGTGTTCCCCGTTCCGTTGTTCCTGGTTTTATCTGCCTTGGTGGTGACTGGTGACCAATGACCAGTGAAATGTAATAAATAAGTAAAATAACTCAGTTATATTCAGTTCACTGGTCACTCACGAAGACATGTTGCGTTTATATGTTTTCATAATCTGGGGCCGGTTGTTCAAAGCTAGGTTAGCGCAACCCTGTCCCTGGGTAAAATTTCAATCCACTGCTTTAGTGTATGTGCTTCTAAACTGGCACTGTTCGTTTTAAAACTTTAGCCGTCGAAGGAATCACTTCTATCGGACCAGAAAATATTTAAGAAAAAAGATATTCAACTTCGTAAACAAGAGAATAAAAAAATTAAGTAAAAATTTGCTTAAAGTCAAATTTTGGGCACCATAGTTATAGGCGTAGAAAACGTGATCTGCAGACTGCAGCCTGACAATCCCCACCATGATTAAAATTGGAAAAACTGATTTCAAAAGCTAAATCATTTTGTAAGGAGATACAAGTATTTTCAACCCCATTCATACCAGACTCTGGATTTATGGTTAAATACAAAATTTGAATTGTTGTTTAATCATCATTAAATGCCATTTTTTCACTTGTTTCCTGTATTCTGTGCCTGTGCCATGATCGAATCTATTCATACAAACATACTTCCTTGCTACAAATCATTGCCAAAAATATTTCAACAAGTAACACTGATTTATGTGATAATAGTTAGTAATATCACAATAGCTGTATAGTACAGTTCTAAATTCCACACTTCAGTGCTAATCTGAAACCTGAAAATAGATATAATATTCATATATATACATATAGGACACATGTAAATATATAAAAAATATTGCAAGACAACTTGGTGGTTTTTTCTGAGGCGAATTACAAGGGGGGCAAGTGTTAATTAATCTATCATTTAAAACTGAAAAGGAATACTATGTAGCTGTTTTGTCTAATCATAAAACAATGTCGAAAGAACTATGGTATGATTTGAGTTGTGAAGAAATTTTCCATTTTACTTTCTATTTTAATTTTCTATGTTATATAATTCGATAGCTTACTAACTTTTCTGCTTAAGTCAGATTTTGTCAGAAATGAGACTTTGCTTCACTCTTACATCCATTTTCAGCAATTTAAACTAAGTTCTCACTACTTGCAAAAGTTTATTTGGGCCGAAATGTTAGTAATATACATGTAGTATTAGTTCAACAGACCTGATTAATAGACCTTGTTCATAATGAAGTCACTAAATCCTAATATTCACAATTTATTCTAACTTTGTTTCCTATATAACTTCAAATGAAAGTTATTTATCTATTTTACAATTGTAAAAAAAATAAGGAAATAATCTTTGCAGTTTTAAATAATTTTAAAAACTCACATTTGAGGATTGAGACAAAACAAATCCTAAGTTTTGAGGAGTTTAGAATCCACATCATTACTGCATATATAGCATCATACAAAAGTGGGTTTTTAGTCTTTTTCTTGGTGAATACATGTTTTAGCATGATATGATTTTTTACTAACTTCATACATAGCCTGCAGTTGAGGGAGCATAATTTTATTGATGATATAGAATGTTAACAGTTGGAAAGCAACCTCAAATCTGAATTTCTTTTAAAGCAAAAAAAAGAGGTCGAAAATTTCGTTGCAGTAGCACTTTGAAGATGTCCATCAGTCCATTTCAGGCTAATTAGATATTACTTTATGCATGCTCGCAACTCTAATTAACACTAAGCAACAAACAGGTCAGAAACCAGAAATCATATTGTTTAAATTGCCCATAATAAAGAAATAACAATGACCAATTCGGAAACACACTGTATATTTTGATGAAAGACACATTTCATTTTTATTTACCACTCGCTGACAACCGAAAGTTTGCTCCGGATAACAAGCCGGGACAAGTCAATACATTTGTCTAAATGGCGAGACAAAATGACTGATGGATGATACAAAAAACTGCATGTTTTTGACGTGGGAAAGCTGGAAGATTCCAACTAAAACGGGACCACGCAAGTGGCATTGGTGTCCATATTGCGGAGCGATTAGTATTAGATAAATTCAGTAACAAGGCGCACATTAGGCGGAAATGAAATTACATGTAGTCTGAAAACCTGTATGGGTCCAGGAAAGCTGGCCGGAAGGCCGTTTCGGACGAAATTATAACTGTGGCTAGGCCTTTGCCATCAGCCCTTTTCAACCATATTAGGGTAAAACTAATATAATTCGGTTAAACAGCTTTCTGTCCAAATTTTTCCATCTAGTTCTTTTTTACTAGAACAAACCAGGGCGCTTATATATATATAAGCGCCCTGGAACAAACAGCAAAAATAACCATGTCAGACGCAGTGTCCGATCTGGCGGTCTCTATTATGAAATTAGTTATAATAACACGCAAATAAATGTATGTATGTTAAAATCATTCTTGAATCAATTAGTTACGAACAGAAAATAGTTTTCATTTGTTAACTTCTATAGGCTGTGCATGTGATTATATCATGTGTTTATGTGTTTTTTATACAGTAACACCCTGTGCTGATTGGCGTGCATTGCCAGTCCTGAGCCTGTGGGGTTTTATTCATATTGTAATATCATGATCATGCAGCTCGGGTTCTATTGTTTAGAGCGGGCCTTTAACTCCTAATTCGCCCGCTTCTGTAAGCAGCAACGGCATGCAAGCAATGAGATGTACACATATGAATTTTTAACAATACATAAAACAATTATACGCTACGTCACCCTCGCTGATCATGATATTACAAACTAATATCATGACATGAGGAAAATTATTGATTAAATGCCCCCTCAGGCTCGGGAGGTTTGCGTAATTACACAAACCTCCCTCGCCTTCGGGGCATTTAATCACTAATTTCCCTCATGTCATGATATTACTTATAATTATCCTAATTATCATTAAATATGCATGTACTTCCATTGTAAACTAAACTATTTATAGTAATTTACACCGAAATATTTCAACTCAGTTCTTCACTAAATCGATAATCTTGTTTTCCATTTTTTTTTCTAAACGCCTTTCAAACAAACGGACCCAGGACCAATTTACACTCTGATAGTGATACTCCCAACTATAATTTACGGTCAAAAATTGGAGTATCATACTGATTTGGACGATATATTCACCGTCGAAACAAGATATTCTGGTGAAATTTTCATGATCTTTCTTTTTATAACCAATAGATCACGATCGATTTATTGATACCTAACAGTTAGTCCTACGTCTGGGGTTTAGAAAAACTACGTTTAATGCCTGTAGTACATGTACGTAAGATAAGCTTTAAGATCGAATTACTTTCTAAAAAATTAACTTTCCTATTGGACTATTATATGGCAGTTTAAGTATCTTACAGGCATTTAAGATGGCAATTTGAGTTTCTTATCTTGCATTGTGGGAGAATATTTATGTACATGTTGCAATCTTAACGATGATAATAATTTTCTTGTACGATTGCACGGCGACTTTAGTAATTAAATTAACTTGTAGGTACACCACGTAGGTAATGTCCATGGCGTCAAAGAACCTTGAACCTTGCAGTATTTATTACGTGGTGTACCTACTAGTTAATTTAATTAACGATGATAGTTGATGTCAGAAATTTTATGTAATAAGATTAGCTATTCATGCACAAATATTAGGAAGAGGGTGATGACGTTAGAGACTTGTGATAGAAAGACATTTTTTCTAAGTAAACATACTGATACCTAGCAAAACGATAGGAGCAAAGCTTACCAAATGTGAAGTAGGTAGTGTGTCACAAGGTTCTTTGATGCCATGGACATCTTAGCTAAATCCCTCGATAGTTGACACTAAAAGACAATAAAATATTGTCATGATGTATCATGATAGCTAATATTGGATTGATAACGAGCCAGGGTAGCTTTAAAGTGTGCCGTAGGTTATGTAGTTCGAATCAAGATAGTTTTAATAAGATTACTAGCTCATTCAGGATTTTTGTGAATCTCGGCATTTAGTTCGCTATTATACGGAAACGAGGCTCAGGGGCCAAAGGCGGAGCCTCGTTTTGGCGTTGTGGTTATTGCATCTCATTTAGGATGTTCTATAAATTGAAAATGACAAAGTTGCGACGTAATTTGTGGCCTAATCACTGATTATTTACAGATCAATTCTTTCCTAAAAATCACAAATGGTCATTTGTCCCCCAAAAAAAGTAATTGGACAGGTGGGTTCAGAATCATCAAAATGTGGTGGCTAGCTTTTAATTTATTTTCAAAATACTGAGGCTATACCCAAACTGGACCAGTCGACTTTAAAACCACGCCTGAATTCGTCTGGTTTAGGCATTTAGGTGAAGATGTTCACATGTTGCATGGAAACGATAAATATATGTATTTACACAAGGAAACCAGACGAACGCGAGCTCAGTCGAACGCGAAATCGTCGGGTTTCGTGTGAGCGTATCCCGAGTGTGTGAAAACTTCGGTTACTACGCCCAATCAAAACCATGTATAGCCTATAGCGGCAATTTCTACCAATCACGCAACAGAACCAGCATGAAGCATGCTCAAGCAACTTATGCATCTCAGCGTTTGCGTTCTTCCTGGGTCATTCGATATTCTGCAACCTTACGGGTAAGCTGTTATCGGAGCTATCGCAGATAATTGCCGTCACCAAAAGGTGAAATTTTGACTGAGCATATCAAGGTACGTTGGCTTTTGATGTTTACAAGCATTATTGTAGTTCCAAGGAACTCTGTGGCAAGCTGTAACGGAGTTTTTTATTTTAGCCAAAAACGTTTTGCCAAGAAAAAAGAGCAAAACGTCTGAAGAAGGATTCGAAGAAGAAGCAGGTTCGTTAGTTCAAAAGCGAGTTTGATTTCCATTTCTATATATATGTATTGTTAAAAACGATATTTTGTGAGAAAATTGAAAATATTCCTCGGTTTTTAGCAATTGCAACCTGTTTCAGCAGTTCCTAAACGGCGATAAGACTAATTCAGGTGCGCGCAATTTTTGCGAGCAACAGTTCGACCAAAAGTTGTCGTTTTCAAAACTAAACGCGCAAAGACGTTTACATATTTGTACTTGAAGTATGCGAAATATGCGAGAATGCCAACCCTTCTTTAAAAGTAAAATTAAATTTTCTTAGGAAAGTGTGTCAGTTTCGTATTTCTTTTCCTGGTTTTAGATTTCTTTTCCAGTGAAATTCTACTGAACAGAAACAGACACAACGAAATAAAATGGCGGACCAAAAAGAAGCCCGTTCGAGCCTTCGAATAAAGGTAAGGTTTCAAACTAAAATTTTCATTTGCATATATGGCCTCTGAATGTGAAAATATAAAGAATATGCCAAGCATGTCTATGTAATGGTAACTACAACTCGTGTTAGAATAATTTTAGCATCCTAATCAAAACTAGGTTGCGCTAAAACTAAACGTAGCTGTCAGACAACATCGTAGCTGCGTCTTTTCATGGCGTGCGTAAACTCAAAAAGAAGGAAGTTCTCAAAAGTTGTTTTTCTTGTATGCAGTCAATTTTTAGCAAAAATAATAGCAGGGGAGTTAGTGCGGAAAAGTATTTTGTCAATTTTTGATGAATAAATAGCCACGGGCGATATATAGGTAAATTCTCATATGAATCGGACTTCGACCTTCGCGATAGTTATCCGAGCCAAGCCTAAGGTCACAAAATGGTTTATTAATGTCGTCGCTACGTAGGTACCGTAGTTAAATAGTATATTGGAATTATATGGACTTAAGTGTATGCAGCATAATAAACTACCAGCAGATAGGATTTTTCTGCAATTTTCTGAGATTTGAAATGCATGAAGGCAAGCATATACTACTAGTAGGCCTGCTAGCGTACTATATGCCTAAGCCAAGGACAAAACCAAGGGCACGGCTCACATACGGTTACGTTATTGGCAGTATTGCTGTATAAACGGTATATACTACATATGTACGAACTTTGAATGAAATTATTTCAGTCGTTCCGTCTAAATGCGCGATAGCATTACTGCCGTTACATTGTCATTGAATATTTAACCTTTAATCTATCTGGGCACAAAGAGCCAAGTCATAATATAACGTATACATGCCGTCATGCGAAAAATGATTTTGCTCAAATCAGTCTTTTTGCGAAGACGAAGTGCATCTTTGACTTTGGCTTGCGTGAACAAATGCAAACAGAAATAAATACTTTTTGGCCAAACATGGACAACTTCATTTGAACCGGCTTTCTAGCATTTCAAAGATGGCGGTAACTGATGGCGGTAACCGATGAGAGATTATAGGCCCGGCTCTATTATGCTGTACATAATTTTTACTTCTACGCGTTGATATTTACCATTTGTTTGTCATTTTCACTTCAGTTTATATCCCTTCGTAGGTGAAGGGTGTATATTCTCTTTGAGTATAACGAGTCTTCCTTGTAATAGCCTAGGTCAAGTTGTTTAAAGCCTGTTTAATAAGGCAGTTCTGTGCATGAACATGCATGATAAATAATTCAGTATACAGCTATTCAACTATGCAAATTAACTGCTTATTTGGGAAAATATAACACAACAGTCGGCAATTATTCAAATTAAAATTAAACTGTTTAGGAGCATGTATAGCATATCACTAAGTAGTCTGCGGTTCAACTGTGTCTGTTGTTCAGATCCAGGCCAGTCAGCCTTATTTCAATTGAGTTAATATGCAAATCCACAAATGAAGTTTATTAAAATGTATCTCTGGAAAATGTATGCTGACCGCTATTAATTCTGGAAAATGTACTATGCTGACCGCTACCTGGCACTCCTAAAATTTTGTTAGATCACTTAAATCAAAATTTTAAATCCTCTACAGTGACAGATCTAAACAGGGTAAATTACTGTGAGGGTAAATTACTGTGGCTCTAACTTGGCATTGTTGGATTTTTGTTTAAAAAACTATTTGGAAGTCTATTTGGTATTTTGAATTTGCAATGCAATGTAATTTATTTTGACAACCAAAGATCTGCCACAAAACTGGTTTATGCTAAAAATTGTGCATTGACTCACCTCTTACTAAATGCATGTAAAGATAGACACAATTAATAGACATTGTACATTGTACAATCACCAGGGCTGAAAAAATTAAAAAAATATGTGTGTTAATTGTTGTGTGAGGAACATAGACAAAAATTACTTGATACATGTGTCAGTGATTGATATATAAATATAATCAACTATAAATAGTAACTTCCTAAATGTTACTCTGTTTACACCAAAATATATCTCAAAAATCAGGGCCCAGTAACAGTTGTATGAAAGCTGTATAGTGCTAACTGGATAGTGGTTTTTCAATATCTCTAAAATTGCCCATTGTTTGGTAAAACTTGGATTAGACCTTAATTAGGATTCTAAAATTGGGAATTTTCTTTAAAAATTGTTAACTCCATGCAGAGTTGTAATTTTTGTTTCTTCAATATTGCTTATCAAGCATTTTTACAATGCTTAAAAAATTACTATCTGGTGGATAAGGCTATCCAGTCTTAGTACAACCAGTCCCAGGTTATAGCCAGACCATTTGTATGAAATATAAATTCTTTTGAGGGTTGCATGATTTCAACCACCAGTTTGTCCAACTAGTTAAAACACCACATACTAAATGCATTTTTGTAAGATTATGTACACTTAGATTAAATTAGTTATAGTTTCTAAATTGTCCTATAGTTGCAGCTCACTGGATTAGCATCCACTTTCTTAGCCATCTTAGGTAATTTAATTACCCCATGGCGAGAAATTGTGAACACAGTATATATGCAGATTACCAGAACTAATTTGCATATCTGCTCAAATATCATTCATTTGCAGAATTATTGAAAATACCACAATCCTAAATTTCTCAAAATTAATCATTGCATCTTTGTGATTTGTTTCTTGTATGGTTATACTGAAGTTAAATATTGAAGTAATATTTTGCTGGTAAAGGCTCATGTATATATATATACACATCAATTTATATGTTACTTGGTCGATGTTTGCTTTCTAGAGACAAAAAGAACCCAATGAGGAGACATTGCCTGAAGATAGTAAAGACCTTGAGCAAAGATATATCAATAACATCATTGGTATATATAATTAAGTTTCAACGATGCTTTGGTGCTTTAGCACTATCCTATATAGATACAATTTAAACACCCTATTAGAAATTAATAAGTCTAATATAATTAGGCCAGAAAGAAATTGCTCACTGAGCTAATTTGGAAGTTTGTTTTTTAACTGTATATATTTGTATATATAATAGGTGATGGGGTCTTTGCAAAAAGGAAATTTCAAAAAGGAGAATTCCTCCTTGAATATAAGGGGGAATTGATTGGCAAAGATGAAGGGGCTAGACGTGAAGAAGCCTATGTCAAAGAGCTTGGAAGCTTCTTGTTCTTTTTCGACTCTCTTTGGTAAGTTTTACATTTCTATAGAAGTGTATCAAAGATGATCTAAATTTGGTATTTGCCTTTGCCCTGTGTCAGACATCCTATTCATATGATCCTTTACCTTTATAAAGTGTTGATGCAACATTCTCCACGGGTCTTGGCAGAATGGTCAACGATAGTGAGATGAAACTGGCCAATTGCCTTATCAAGAAGGTTATTGTAGACAGCCGTCCTCACTTAGCCCTCTTTGCTAAAAAGAAAATTTTGAAGCACGAAGAGTTACGCTATGATTATGGGGTAAAGAACTTGCCATGGCGAAGAATAAAAGGTAATTTAACTACTTTTACAGCTTGCAAGGAATGAGACAGTACCAAGCTGACTATAATATTGATTTGCAACAAACAATGCAATTGGGACACACCAAACAATGGTCCTTGTATAATCAGGTGGCGGCCCACCTGTTTGAACCATGTCCATGGCCAATGCAAAAGTAAAAAATTAACCTTGTTATGTACATTCAAAGTGCCAATAGTGTAATGCTTTCACTTGGAGTCTTGGACTCACCCAAGCAAACCCAAAAACATTGTGCACTTGTTATTTTGGAATTGTAAGCTAAAAGGAAATCATTTTCGCTCAACTGTCATTTTAAATTAGTACAACAACAAATTTGAACTGCCATTTAGTACAATAACAATCATTTTTGCTGAACTGCCATTTTGCTCAAATAGGCTGTAGCATTTATTAGTCTGACTACATATTTTCCAAAGGATTAAACGTAGCTTGCCACACTACCGATGTTTATAGGAATTCGTTTAATTTCAAATCTTCATCATAATAAAAGAAAAGTATGGCAAATATAACTGATCATAATCTATGGTCTAGAGTAATTTCTTCGCGAATGCCTGCACATGGTTATCCGAAATTTAGAATATTTACCTTATCTTTTTTCAAAATTTTTATATATCCAACGAAAAATTACATAAACTTTCATCAGCTCCGCTCAAAACTTGAAAAAAGTAAAACCAGATGGCAAAATAATAATGTTGTAAAGAGACGTAACAAAGGTCATTTACTGATTACACATCAAGATTATAATTTTAGCATCTTCTTCAAAAAACCAGCAAATGCGATTGATTATATCCGGACTATCCGGTGCACGTGGGCAATACTGCAAGCACAGCTGTAACACTGGCTGTAACTAATTATTCTGATTGTAACGTCTGGATTGCTACGTTTCAGTCTGTACTGTGCTTCCATTTAAAAACTGAAATATATCTTTTCAAAACGTAGAATTTAATTTTTCTTTACTTTTTTTCTTGTTCTGTATCTTATCTATATTTTACCATTTTATTTTTTAATTTCCCGTAATTTCCTTGTCATATCATTGATTGGTCGCATCGTGTAGATAGGCCTTTAGGACTTATTATTGTAAAAAGTTCGCATGGAAAGAATACCCTAAAGGTCGACACAGACCGGACGCGATGCGGCAACGCGACGCGAATTTTGAGTTTTCAGAAGCATATGAATTAAATTCTGGAAGTAAAATTTGGAAACTATGGACGCTAGAGCAGTCAAAATGTTTTGTTGTTATGTAATCTACAAGAATATTATGATAGTTTAAAATTTATTTGATTTTGAAAAATTAAAAACGTTGAAAATTCGCGCCGCGTTGCCAATTCGCGTCCGGTCTGTGTCGGCCTTAAGGGTGGTGGTTTTTCGCTGTCGCGCTCTCTGTTTGGGTCTACACAAACGTAAAAAGCTTAAACCCTTTGACCTTTGTTATATAATTAATCTTACACCTAAAGAATCCAACCCCATGAATCTATCCAATCGCTGTACGTACAAAAAACGTGACAGTGCAAAGATTAATAACTTTTCATTTAAGAACTTTGCAAGAGGAAACCGAGAAATTACTTCGGTGAAGTAATGAAAAAAATAAATGAAGGTATACCACAAAGTAACACTGCATGCCACCGCGATTGCATAATTGATGAATTTGAAACGCGAAATTGGGAGATGCATGGTCATGGAGAAGAATATCATTGCACTGTTTTCATGTTTGCATGTATCAACGTAATATTCTTTCGCCTATGACATAGTCATAGCAAAAAATCCCAGTTGCCATGCATTTGCAGAACTTATATGCGAATCATTTGAGCTTGTAAGTTGTGCCGAACAGCCGAGGTGCATAGGTTGAGTGTAGAAATTTAGAATTCTCTTTCAAATCAATTTCTAAATAGATAACAAGTTCAAATTCGCGCACAAATAGGTGAAAAATTTTACTCAAACATTTTTGTCAGGGTGAACGACTCTCAAGAAACTAGTTTTATGAAGTTTTCGTAATCAGTTACTGTTTCTGCCACAATGCCAGTGTCACTATTTCATTGCTTCTGCCATAATGCCAAAGATGATCAGGCAGATTTAAGCTCTTTTAAAGTTTAAACATCTATAGTATTCAAGAATCATCAACTTAATAGTTATAGCGTTGCATGACCTAAATATATGAAGACATGTTATTTGATTTTTTGTCCTTTTTGTTCGTCATATACCAACTTTCATTCTATTCTTTTACATTTAGGAATTACTCTGAAAACTAATGGCGAGGGACGTAACTCATCGGGTTTGAAAGCAGGTAAACATGGTCATGTATATAGACAAGGATACGGAACTATACGTTTTTAAATCATGAACCAAATATATACAGCCAGGCAGACAGGTGCAATGATTACACATGTATGAACCTTTGTCATCTCTCCATGTAGTTATAACACCATGTAACACAAGATATTAGCTAAGTTTTAAAGTGGCTATATGTATGACTTGTTATTTGGCTGGACTTTATATGTAGACAGAAAAGATTGCCAAAAACACGCTCTGGTCGGTGCTGCTATTGGCCTCCATCATGAAGATGTGAAGATGTCAGGTATTTATTCTTAAACTCGTTTGTCAGAAGATATGGTGACTTAGCTACGTTTCAGAATTATCTTAAGGAATTCTGGGTGCATGTGCGATCTGATGTCATTGGAATTCAGTATCTACGCTTAGTAGAATATAGAACTGAGAACAAATAAAATGACCACGCAATAAAAAAGACAACGAAAGGCATAAAGTAATAGCTCTATAACGAATAATAATTAATCACAAATGTTACACCCAGTAATATTTTATGTTTACTTTCCATCACACTGTCTGTATAGGATGACTCAAATGCAAAAACATTACGCGGTAACATGATTATATCTTTGTCAATTCTGCAGAGGAAATTAACGAGCAATCAGGCAATGATCCTACTGCAACAATCCATCGATGTCAAGATTCCTTATTGACAGGTAAAGTGTGAATTTCAGTGCCATCATTCTTGGAGCAATTTACAATATTACAAACTAAAAAGGAACCACGACTTAGAATGATCACAAAAAAGAATTACTAATAAATACTAAAATTCCAAGTTACCTGTCCTGTTGCTTTGAGTAGAATGTATACAGCAGTTCCATCAGAACACCAAGCTATTCAGATAACAAATTTATAAAACATTATGGAATAATCTAAATTCTGCAGATGAAAATAACGAACAATTGGGTGCTGTTTTAATCGATGATTGTCAGGATGTGGTAATGAGAGGTAACGTTGTGAATTCCAACTATCATTTTTGTTTGTATTGCCTTAGAATCCGGATTTAAGATTGCAAAACAGCGTTGCAAAATTAGTAAAATATCGATCACTCCAATCCACTCCGTTAGTAAAACATCATATTATTCAGATATCGAATTTATAACACATTATGTAGAAACTTGATTATACCTTGATCGATTCTGTAGACGAAAACAACGCACAATCGGGTACCTCTCTTCGCGCGAAACTCCATGATCATCAAGATGTGGTAATGACAAGTAAGATGTGAATTTCAGTACTATGACTCTTGGAGTGCTTTTGAATACATTTCAAATCTAAAATTAGACAATAATTTAATTAGACTATCAATATCTAACAATCAAATTAGACTATAATTTTTGTTTGTATTGCCTTAGAATCCGGATTTAAAATTGCAAGATGGCATTGCAAACTTAGTGAAATATCGATCACTAGCTCCATTACATTCTGTTAGTAAAACATCATGTTATTCAGATATCGAATTTATAAGACATTATGTAGAAACTTGAGGCATACTAAATGGTCGCGGGATATTGCGAGACTTTCGGGCATGCAATTTTAGAGCGATAGAAAACCCATTATCCGGTGGATAGCGCTATCCTTCCGAAGTTATTAAACAATGTATTTTGATCAATTCAGCAGATGAAAATAACGGACAATTGGGCGCCAATTTAACCGAGGATGTGTTGATGGCAGGTAACGCTGTGAATTCAAGCAGTATATGATTTTTTACCTGTACCTAGAATTGGTTTGGTAAAATGCAGATGAATAGTATACAAGGACGTTCCATTCTGTTAGCAAAACACAATGCTATTATAATAATTCAGATACCGAATTTATAAGACACTATGCATTTAAAAACCCGAATTCAAGATAACAAACAATCGGAGAAGGCTCACCATGCCATTACGATGCCAAATTTATAAAACAATATCCATTGACCTGGTTATATTCTTATCAATTCCGCTGAAAATAACGAAATATAATTATATTCCATGATCACCCCATAGTCCAGCACTACCGTTTTTGCAGTTCTCTAGAATATACCCACCTAAAATTGGACAATAAGAGCCCACACAATTTGCGAAACAACCGATTACTAGTATATGTATACAACAGCACATCTAAGATACCATGTTTTGTTAATCGAATTAATACGGTTGTTATAGATAACAATAACGAACAATTGGGCACTCATATTGGCGAGGATGTGATAATGACAGGTAAACCTTGAATTTAAATATCCTTCGTGGTGTGTTTTGCAATGATTAAAATACTTTCAACTATATTCATTTTATAGAACGAAGACACTGCATTGGTGTGCCGCTTACGCATGGCCATGCCGACCAATCAGCAGCAGGTAAGAAATAAGGTTTAGGCAGGAGTTATCGGTTGGAAAGAAAATCGAAGTTCAGGTTATACATAGGTTCTATATTGGTTCAAATACATATATAGGTTCTATATTTTTTTTTAGTGATCTTTAAAATTTCTGCATTAGCGGACGATAAAACAGACTAAAATAGCCTGTCAATTAATACCGGCTGGAAAGTTTTAGGCTGAAAATCTTTGAACCTTTCGCTGTTAGGACATGTAATTGGTGATTTTTGTCATCTGCTATATGTTATTAGTGATAAATATATATGAAACTCACTACAAATTAATTACCTTAGATATAACAGATGGAAACTGCCATGTCTGCTTTGGCACAGTGTCCGGTTCCCACATATGTATCGTATGTCATCGTTCTGTCCACGTATTCTGTGGTGAGGGGATCGGTGACGAAGGTTATGGACAAGCTGTGACATGTTACAAGTGTCTAGATAGAGGTAGATGATTAGATATTAATGTTATTATTCATCGTGTTTTATACTCATTTTAATTTTTAGAAAGTTGACAATGCAAATCTAAATATTAAATCTTACAAAAAAATCAACAGACGGCAAAAATGCGAATCAGCGGAAATTCATGCATTGGCAAAAAAAACCTTACTAACAAATTGACGTAGAAAGAAAGGGCATAATCCATAAGTGACAATGATATAGAGTGTGTTTTGCACATTGTTCAGCATTGCAATTGCTACATCGCCAAGAATCAAAATTAAAATATTTAAGTTCTCTGACCTTCTGTTACAGGAAAAAAACAAACGAAATACGCTGAAACGGAGTCGACAGATACATCTGGTTAGTGATATAAATATTTTAATATCTGTTGTAAATGCAAAGCTAACCAGACATGCACACACACCTGAAAAGAACATTCATACTCTTCATAGATTGTGTTAATAAAAAACCCCAGCAAACGCCAAAGATCAGCAATTAACATAATAATACATATATTATATATATATATATATATACATATATTATATATATATTATATATTATATAATATATATTATATATTATATATATTATATATATATATATATATATATATATATATATATATATAAGATATTATATATATATATACGATGTGGGGAACTGATATACGGTACTTTTTCCAATGTCACCACCGGTGACAAATAATTGATAGACTCGAGTGGGTAACGAAATCAAAGACTATGTCACTAGATAAAAAATTCTAATACTAGAAGTTGTCTTTACGTCACATCACGTTCAAGATTTAGGCCATTTAATTTAAACTAACTATAAGAATGAGATATTAGCAGATCACAAAGAAGATGGTCCGCAAGATTAACATGTCTAGATTAAAAAAAAACCATTATCCGGTGGATAGCGCTATCCTTCCGAAGTTATTAAACAATGTATTTTGATCAATTCAGCAGATGAAAATAGCGGACAATTGGGCGCCAATTTAACCGAGGATGTGTTGATGACAGGTAACGCTGTGAATTCAAGCAGTATATGATTTTTTACCTGTACCTAGAATTGGTTTGGTAAAATGCAGATGAATAGTATACAAGGACGTTCCATTCTGTTAGCAAAACACAATGCTATTATAATAATTCAGATACCGAATTTATAAGACACTATGCATTTAAAAACCCGAATTCAAGATAACAAACAATCGGAGAAGGCTCACCATGCCATTACGATGCCAAATTTATAAAACAATATCCATTGACCTGGTTATATTCTTATCAATTCCGCTGAAAATAACGAAATATAATTATATTCCATGATCACCCCATAGTCCAGCACTACCGTTTTTGCAGTTCTCTAGAATATACCCACCTAAAATTGGACAATAAGAGCCCACACAATTTGCGAAACAACCGATTACTAGTATATGTATACAACAGCACATCTAAGATACCATGTTTTGTTAATCGAATTAATACGGTTGTTATAGATAACAATAACGAACAATTGGGCACTCATATTGGCGAGGATGTGATAATGACAGGTAAACCTTGAATTTAAATATCCTTCGTGGTGTTTTTGCAATGATTAAAATACTTTCAACTATATTCATTTTATAGAACGAAGACACTGCATTGGTGTGCCGCTTACGCATGGCCATGCCGACCAATCAGCAGCAGGTAAGAAATAAGGTTTAGGCAGGAGTTATCGGTTGGAAAGAAAATCGAAGTTCAGGTTATACATAGGTTCTATATTGGTTCAAATACATATATAGGTTCTATATTTTTTTTAGTGATCTTTAAAATTTCTGCATTAGCGGACGATAAAACAGACTAAAATAGCCTGTCAATTAATACCGGCTGGAAAGTTTTAGGCTGAAAATCTTTGAACTTTTCGCTGTTAGGACATGTAATTGGTGATTTTTGTCATCTGCTATATGTTATTAGTGATAAATATATATGAAACTCACTACAAATTAATTACCTTAGATATAACAGATGGAAACTGCCATGTCTGCTTTGGCACAGTGTCCGGTTCCCACATATGTATCGTATGTCATCGTTCTGTCCACGTATTCTGTGGTGAGGGGATCGGTGACGAAGGTTATGGACAAGCTGTGACATGTTACAAGTGTCTAGATAGAGGTAGATGATTAGATATTAATGTTATTATTCATCGTGTTTTATACTCATTTTAATTTTTAGAAAGTTGACAATGCAAATCTAAATATTAAATCTTACAAAAAAATCAACAGACGGCAAAAATGCGAATCAGCGGAAATTCATGCATTGGCAAAAAAAACCTTACTAACAAATTGACGTAGAAAGAAAGGGCATAATCCATAAGTGACAATGATATAGAGTGTGTTTTGCACATTGTTTAGCATTGCAATTGCTACATCGCCAAGAATCAAAATTAAAATATTTAAGTTCTCTGACCTTCTGTTACAGGAAAAAAACAAACGAAATACGCTGAAACGGAGTCGACAGATACATCTGGTTAGTGATATAAATATTTTAATATCTGTTGTAAATGCAAAGCTAACCAGACATGCACACACACCTGAAAAGAACATTCATACTCTTCATAGATTGTGTTAATAAAAAACCCCAGCAAACGCCAAAGATCAGCAATTGACATAATACATATATATATATATATATATATATATATATATATATATATATATAAATATATATATATATATATATATATATATATATATATATATATACACCCGTTTGCAAAAACGTTGGCCGCAGATAGATAGATAGATAGATACTCGAAATCTAATTAGAATTGCATATGTTGTGTAATATGATTGAAATCCCATGCAAATGTAATCATATGCAATTCTAATTAGACTTCCAGTATCTATCTATCTATCTATCGGCGGCCAACGTTTTTGCGAATGGGTGTATATAAATATATATATATATATATATATATATATATTAATATATATATATATATATATATATATATATATATATATATATACGATGTGGGGAACAGACTCGAATCAAAGACTATGTCACTAGATAAAAATCAAAGACTATGACACTAGATAAAAAATTCTAATACTAGAAGTTGTCTTTACGTCACATCACGTTCAAGATTTAGGCCATTTAATTTAAACTAACTATAAGAATGAGATATTAGCAGATCACAAAGAAGATGCATGGTCCGCAAGATTAACATGTCTAGATTAAAATTCACACATTTTTGTATTGGTTGCCATATTTTAAACTGAAAAACATACAGCTACACATCTGTCATGGTTTCGAAGTGAACTTTATCATTGATCATACTTTCGATCTGAACATTATCACCAATAAGATCGGTTAATAGGTTAAGATCGGATTAATAGGTTACATACCATTGCTGCTGTAATAGTCCCAATAACCCAGACCGTCTACAAAATCCAAAAAAAAAGCTGAAACAATATTAATGTTGATAATGTAGGGAAAATGCGAGGCCGATGTGCACATAATTTTTTAATCTTCTTTTGAATTTAGATAACCCACATAAAACAGCGCACAAGAGAGGTTCTAGACATAAGGTAACTATACCATAAAATTTTATTTTTAGGGCCACTATGCCAAAGATAGTTCCACACCAAATGTATATGTATTGCCAAGCACTTTATTGGGCTGTCTAGGCAACGTTGTAGTAAACATTTTCCATTACAAATTACAATTTATCAATTATTTTTCTTACGCAGGAAGAAAGTGACGAAGACTACTTGCCAAGCTCGGAGAGCGAAAATGAAGGTATAGAATGGACTGAACAGTGCAGACTGAACGCAGTATAGACATAGAAACACGAGGATTAAATCTCAGCTTGAAAATATGCATACATTAGGGCCCAGGAATATCTTTTTGTCCAAGCTCTTTTTAACAACTCCTAAGTACTGTGTATATATATATATATATATATATAATATATATATATAATATATATAATATATATATATAATAGATACCGACAAATTAGAAAATGAATTCCATACCTTAGCACTGCCGTGTAATACTTTGCAATGCAATTTTCCTATTATATAGATAAAGATCCTGCCACATACAAAGACGAGTATGAATTTCAAGGTAAACTTCAACAATTCTAAATAAACTGATGACATTTCATGAATAAAAATATTATTATTTTTCCTAAATTTTGAGTAAAATATCTCTATATTGAATAATTCAATAATATATTGGGATCAGAAACGTATATATTTCCTATATGTTATAAAACGTATATATTCTGCATATATTACATTCATTATACTCTCTTATTAAAGTATCTCCTGATTATTCCTGAAAGAATAACACTTAAAGTAATATATAATATATGAATATACTCATATATAATACTCACACAAAATTTGTTACCAGATTTTATAACAGCATTGCATTATATATTACATATATTCGAAAATATGGCTATTGAGAGAGTTCCTACTTGAATATGTTTTTGAAATAAAGTGAAATATTGATTTCACTGCAATAGTTTTGCCAAGTATATATATTAATTTAATTTAATTTATTAACTTTGCCAGGTATGTATCAGCAATATCAACATAAGTAAATGACACAAACAACTAGCAGGGAAATGCAACAACTTACGCCAATCTGAATGAAGGTACAGTACAAATACTAACAAATGTTATATATTTTAAATAGATACACACAACCGTCCACCAATTAAAGCCAGAAAACGTCTGAAGGTAAGCAAAGAAGTAGATCATACTTGGTTATTGATTGTGTGCGCTTCATGATATGCCAGTTGCATTATGCAAAAGTCAAATACCAGGCCAATTAATATCTGCTCAGTTACTGTACTTCCTAGCTTGAAGATTTATGTAGCTATACATCATTCATTGTTTACAGGAAAATAAGAACATACCAAAAGACTCCAGTGTCTGCGATGCCGATTCGATGAAAGAAATTGAAGAACATCCTGGTGAGAAACCATAGATATACTAATCAAAAGAAACATAGTTTGTATGCATGGTTATCTAAGAGTTTCTTATAGTGGTGTTTCTTTCTTGCTTTAAATTTTACTGTGACAACTAATTAATTTATTTCATTCGTATAAGGGGTTAAAAGGCACTTTCCCGTCTGAAAAATTATCTTTAAATTACTTACCATATTTGCATGAGCCTTTTATAAAGGAAAATGTGATGTGAATTAATCCTGACCTATGATTTGTATATATTTTTAAATATGCAGATAACAACCTAAAGAAGCAAAAGAGAGAAAGAAAACAACCTGTAAGTAATTCATAAATTCTTATTACAATGAGGTCTGAGGGAATATTGATGTATGTCTGCAGGGATGGATCAAGTGTTATTTTGTGCTGATTGGACATGCATGCGGCATGCCAGATGCCAACTAGCATGGGTTGGCTTGATATTCAATGTTCAAATTAACAACCAGATTATAGCAGCAGTCATTGTTGTAATTTAGCCGCACAGTGATTTGCAAGTTGGTATAATTGCTGTAATTTGCGAAAAAATATGACAAAACAATAATAAAATTATAATATGTAATTTCAGTTCAAAATTTGGACCTCAAAAACCGATGCTTCAAATAATGAAAACGGGTCAAAAGGCAAGTCTTTTTTTACATCACATATTACACATTCATCCTTATTCATTACTGATCGATATTCAAGATCAAGCTGCTTAAATTTTGCTTAATATATCAAGTGGGCTAAAATTTCTAAGCAAAATAATTCCTTGTCTGAGACTTTTCTGATAATGATTTCTATATAAAATTTAGTAAAAAACGTAGGTGTACTCTTATTAGTCTATATATATATATATATATATATATATATATATATATATATATATATATATATATATATATATATATATATATATATATATATATATATATATATATCGTTTGCAAAATCTACCTCACGTCTTTTTTGAGTTTTGTTTAAATAAACCTTGCAAAGCATCGCCATCCTTGCAGATTATAACAACAGTGTCACCGACTCACCGTGCACACTTGCCTTGAATGCCTTCAGCAGACAAGCCGCATAATTATGCAGTGTTTCCACACCAAATTTTAAAAATCCCTTTCTTGGAGCCTTAAATTCGTTTTTTTTGAGAGAAATTCCTTTCAGATACTGACCGATACTATCGACATTTATTTTGCGGGCATATGTATTATACATATAACAATTAACAATAATAACATAAAACGTTTATATGATGCTATATATATGCTAATACCTCCAACGATAAATGAAAACATTGTTTGTTAATTGTAATCGCCAGCGAAGTGAGTTGTGAAACTGTAAAACTGTCCCATAAAACACTGGGGGCGGTTGTACGAAGCGGGCTGGATATCCGGCTTTCGTACAACCGGCCCCTGAACTATAACCCCGGTGCAAGCTGTATTAATCAGTCCCGCTAAGTTAGAGTTGGGCAAAATTGTGCATATTTGATATTTATTGACCTTATATTGCTATGTGGGTGTAGACAAATCGTGTTTTTGTTCTTGAAACAGCTCATATTAGGGAACCAACTTATGGTTTATACATTTTTTACTATTTTGCAAATATCCTTGTAATTTCCTTGCATAAGATCAGTTTTCCTTGTAAATTCCCTGTCTTTTTTAATTCCTTGTATAATGTTGTGACGTAATTATCGACAGGGCCTATTAGCTACCGTTTTTAATGCTGTTCATTCACCGAATAGTTAAGATGCGTGCCAAAAGTGTAGTTTAATGAATGAACTGTCGCAAACTGTTTTGAATCAAAAACTTATATGGAAAGATCCCTTTCGGTTTTCATTACGAAACAAATACTCTTTTCACATGCATGCATGGAGCGAGTTACAACTAATTTTTACTTCTACAATACAAGATGCAACCCCAAGAATATCTTACATGGAGAGTTATAACATTAATTTTGCTATAAAATATCTAGCAAATGCCCACTGTTATATACACTAGCTAGTTTGCATAAAATATTATTTATCACATTAACTCTATTTTCACAACCTATAAGGCTTTCCATTGCAATGGCATCGACGAGCTTTGCTTATGTTATGAGTGCTTTATTTTCAAATAAGGCATGTGATGTATTTTTAAATTGGTTTTGTGTTTTTTGCAGTTTATGTACAGCCTATAATGGCAGCAGCGGGGAAAAGAGCATACGATAAAAAAAATTGCTGCTTCTTCTGCTCCAAAGAATTTTCCAAGTTGGCAAGACATTTGGAGCAGAAACACAAAGATGAGGAAGAAGTCGCTGCTGCGCTAAAGTTCCCCCCCTCCGACAAACGCAGAAAAGACCTCTTCGCTAAGCTGAGGAAGATGGGGAACTTTAATCATAATATTAAAGTCATCGAAAAACGGGAAGGTGAACTAAAGGTATAATTGTTTTGTCTATTTTAAGCTCGTCGCAGACGTAAGCTTACTAAGCTATAAGGGACCTTCATCAATGGGGGGGAGGGTGTATATTTATATACTCGTCTTATGCCCGTCTGATTTATTTTTTATGCATGCTATTGTTCCTACGGTATATAACCCCCCCCCCCCAATTAAGCTACGGCCCTAAAGAAAGGTAAGAGATTTTCAGTTTAACTAAGAAAATGGAGAAGAATGCAACACAAGCCTATGGGGACTCAACTTTGTCCTCTTAACCTCTTACAACAACATTTCAATTCGACAGAAGAAGAACGATAAATTTCCTTTTTAGGTTGATCGAAGACCAGCAGCAGGAACTGACCCGAAACAATACTTACCGTGCACAGGATGTAATGGGTTTTTCCTCGCACATGAACTCACAAGACATGCTGCAACATGCTTGCGATCAGATGAGCCGGCCGGTGGGAAAGTAAAGCCATCGGCCAAGCGTATGCAATTTGATGGCAAGTTGCTATTAGCTGGAGGCGGAGCCAGTGAGTGCAGCAAACAGCTGCAAAGCATATTAAAAATCATGGCTCGTGATGACATTTCCGCGGTCGCCCAGGCAGATCCTACAATCCTCGCCGTCGGCAGTGACATGGTTGAACAAAAAGGGAAAGAGAAAGCTATTGCAATCTCACAAAAGATGCGGTTGTTGGCACGGGTTTTGGTGGAGATGAGAAGGCTAACTGGTAAAAGCGATGCCTCCTTATCTACGATTATAACCCCTTTGTATTTTGACATGCTCTTACAGTGTGCAAAAAACCTTGGGGGTTATGTCGTAGATGAGGATGGCTCTAAAAGTTTTAAGAGTCCCTCCACCTCCGTCAAATGTGGATACGCAACGATGACGGCAGCGAAGATCTTGCGGGGGAAAGCACTTAGAGATTGTGACATGGGAAGGAAAAAGGAGCTCGACAACTTTTTGGAGTTGTACGAGACGGAATGGGGGAAAAAAATCACGTCACCGGCCCATGACAATCTCGGCCTGAAAAAAACGAACAAGCCCGACGTCTTGCCACTCACGAGTGATCTAATGAAGCTTCGTGACTACCTCCTGGAGGCCATAAAAAAGGGGACAGAAAACCTCAGAAGAGACCGAAACAAAGAGAACTTTCGGGTTTTATCGGAAGTATGCTTGGCGAGGTTAATAATGTTCAACAAGAGAAGAGGTAATATTCTTTTAGTTTTGCATCGTGAATAACAATATAAATAAGTTTGCTTGTAGGTACACCAAGTAAATTTTTTACTGCTGCAAAGTTAAGAGAATACATCTGTATTATGGTGATCTTAAAAACAAACAAAACTACTAGCAATTAATAGACGAAAAACGATCATATTTTAGTGTTCATGAACTGTGAAATCAATTTATTGGCATGCAGGCACTTCAGAAGATAAAATCATACTTTAAAATTTTAGTAAAAATGGCAATGGACGACGAAAGAAAAAATCGTGATTTTCGTCAATTTATAGAAATTTTAAAAGCAGGTTCTAAGTGCCAGAACATACAACATATTCAACAGTTAAAAAACGTCTCGTTTTGTATTAAAACAGGGGGAGAGACCGCAAGAATGAAACTGAAGGCGTACCAATCGCGATGTAATTGGAGAGAACATCAAAACCAAGAGGTGTTCCAATCACTCTCGGTTTCGGAAAAGCAGCTTTGCGAAAAGTATGTTATTATTCATTCGCATTTATTCACCGTCATTCTCTTGACCTATACTTGTCGTTTCAAACAACGCCAATGTTTTATACCATGCCACATTTCACATACATATTTTTCCTATATTCACATTCAGCCTTGCTATATATAGTCTCAGAAGTCGGAGTTCAAGGCCACGTTCAATTTCTGTGGAATTGGCAAGGGCGTAGGTTTTAGTGTAATTTCTAATAGAAGACGAAAACTTCTATCAAACAACAAACCGCCATTCAAACATAATTCATTAGATTTATAAATAAAAATCTGAAGACGCGTACACTAAAATTAATCTATAAATTTATGATGCTTATTTCAGCTATACTTTCATGAGGTAATAAACATTCTGAAATTCGAAAATTTTTCATAAAGTATATAACGGACTTCGTGAAATAAACTGTTTATCAAGAGCTTTACTCCTCGACCCTATACTCACACTAACATTTTTGTTGGAAACAGTGGTTTGGATTTTTTTACCCTTTTCGGCAAATAGGGAGATATATGTACAGCTTTTTATTCACAATTATTTGGATTTTAAGGTTTGACATGGTTGAGATCATTGGAAAGCGAAACAGGAAGGTTCCGGTCATCTTGACACCGGACGTCGCAGATGCAATGTTGATGCTGACCGATCCTTCCTACCGAGAGAAAGGTTGCGTGCAGCGGGAAAACGAATACGTTTTCCCCATGAATAACAACTCATCGCTGCACAGCCTGAGAGGAAATGACGTCCTCAGAAACGCGTGCAAGAATGCAAATTTGGAGAACGATAGCTTGGTAACGTCGACCAGTATGCGCAAGTATGTTGCAACGGTATCGCAACTGGTCGACATGAACGAGACCGAAATGGGTTGGCTTGCCGAGCATATGGGCCACGATCTCCATATCCATAAGGAGTATTATCGTCTGCCACAAAACACTCTTGAAATTGCTGTGGTTGGCAATTTGCTCCTGGCAATCGATGAGGGAAGGGCCCACAAGTTCAAGGGGCGAAATTTACGAGACATCAACATCCAAGGTACCAGTCCATGCGTTCTGTAAAACAGACAGCATATATCAAAAGTCACAAAATAAAAAGGATGGCGAAATAAAACGCACTACGGCACAAGACTATACACTTGTTTTTTATTTCTTTACAGAGTTTGAAAATTTCGCGTGCGAAGAGGACGATGAGGCTGCAAACAACCTTGGTAATGATGAATCATGAATTATTTCTTTTAATGTATAAGCAATATTAAAATATTCATAGGTTTGTATAGCTAAATTAATAGCTATTATAATCTATATTATTAGCGCAGCATATTTTTCAATGGACTTACATATCAATTTATATCTATAGATCAATTTTGTCATTTTCGGAAAGAGAATACAAAAATTATATTGTTATATATACTGCTAAGTTTGGCTGCGAAACGTTGTAAAGTAAGGAAAATATAGCCATTCGAAGTTGGCAAATTTTGTATACTTTTCTATTGCAGCTGGAAGTGTGTAAATAATTTTTATTGCATATCTTTATTAAGCCAGAGAAAACAGTTTTATATATACTTCCGTTGCATGCAATAATGCATGACTTCCGTTTTTGACATCGCTCTTTATTTTCATTTTTATTTTAAAATCAGCCTATCAATTAATGATCAAAATAATACATTTAGTGGTGTAGTTAGCCCGCCTATATTTAGTCATGCTGTGCAAATATTTTGGCATCGACTGTGGAAATAATGATTGCCATGCAGGGTAACTACCACAATTAATGTTTAATTATAACTTCTAAACTAGTCATCGCAGTAAGGGACATCCCTTGAAGTAATCCAACCAACTGATATCAAAGACAACTGCAAACACCCACAATTTGCTGTTGACTGCTTAACCTTGACCTGAACTGTATGCGTCTTTCAAATGTAGGTTTTACTGAATGTTCATCCAAGACGAAGTCGAAGCTGGCCTCAAAAACACAAGGTAGTTTTATAAACATCCCAACTGAACATAAATATTTGCATGGAATAACTTCTTAGTGATATAACAAGTGTAATATTAAAAGTGTAATTATGGTTATATAATTTATCCGGTATTGATATAAAAACATTTTGCTTTAGAAAACACTGATCTGCCTACTTCTTCCATCACATCGCGCAATACTCCTAGTAAGTAACAAAATGAAATCTATACACCTGCATGACTAGCATGCTACAATAATTAGGGAATATAGGGTTGCGTATTCATATATCCGTTCTAAAGCAGAACAAGATATATGAAGCTAACTGGTTCTCATAGGTCACCGACAATTGCCGACTGTTACAGCGGTGACGTATGGGAAAAAGGACCTATATTTAAATTATTTTTTCATCCTCGTCTTGACTGTACGTTTTTAAATGTAGGCAGCTGTGCATCAACATCGAAGCAAGGATCATCAAAGACGAAAGGTATATTTTTAATTTCATCAAAACACAAATCCAGCTCACAATAGTAACCAAATGAGATCTGTCGGTTGCGCAACTGCGTGAAAACTATAGGATGTGTCAAAAAGACCGTTTTAACCTTCAACCGTACGGTCGCTTTCGGCTAGAACTAATATGTGTGGAAAACGGCCCTTAAAATACGGCTTAAAAATCGTAGCGAAGCATAGCGTATATTTGCAGTTTGCATGCAAAGAAAAGCAACGAAAGAAGTTTTGCATATATTCATAATTCATAGAGAACAATACAATAGAACAATGAAACCATAAAATAAGCCAATCGACACCTTTTGTGTGCTTGGGGTGAAACCCTAATTAACTAAACTTTTCGTTTAATTCTCGCATTCTTTATATATTTTTGAAGAAAAAATATCTAGGGTCAATTATCATGCAGTAATGGACAGTTATTCACTTAAATGTCACTGCTAAGGCTAATAAATTTGAAAAAAGGAATTTTTAACATTACTCGAACTCTTGATACGAATAATGCAGAATACGTTAATTAAACTGACATATCGGTCTGAAACAAAAAAACACTCTATTTGCTCTCCAGTTAGTTGTGACTTCCAGATCATCGTTTGTAGTTACACAGCTGTACGAACATACAACGTACATAGTTTTTAATGTAGATTTCAATTTTTTTTGTTTGGAAATGTTCAGCAATTGCTGCTTCTAGCGCGTAAATTACTACATTATTTCCATTGCAAACTTTCGTTGTTGGATTAAAGGGTGATGATTAATTACAGGCTATTCAAGGCGTACACGTTTATACAATTATATAGATGGTTACACTCATTTTTTTTGGTACCCCTCCCAATGACTAGTTAATTTGTTTCGGAACCCCCAAAGGTTTAATAGTTTGTTTCATACCCCCCAACTTATCCTCCACCTTCCCGCTATAACACATACCTTATGACCGGTCCCTTAGACTTGTGAAATGACTGTAATTACAAAATATGTACATATGTTAATAGATTTTTTGGCTAATTTTCAAATCGAACTTCTGATTTCATCATTCATATAACTCTATACCAATCATTGTCCAAGGATCAAATCGACCGTATACCATACATTAATTTTTTGTTAGCCATTTCGTAAAAATAATAGTAGTTTCGAGCTCTATCTACATCTACATTACTATTATAATCTACATTACTATTATATAATACATATGATCCTTGTTGATCTGCATCGTAATCTTTCTTTATAGAAAGAGCTGACGATAAAATTAGCACCGTCTCCTCGCCGAAGACTCCGAGTAAGATGCAAGACAGTATTTTGGAATTTTTTGGAATGATTATTACTGATTTTATTACTGATTAAATTTCCGTTTTTGTTATCCTAGTTGCAAAAACTAAGAAAGGCAGAGCGCCACAAAAGCTGGTGAAATGGACAACGCCAGAACGTAGGCTAGTCATGCGCTCATTCGACAGGCATATAAAGAACATGGAATTGCCGAAAAAAAAAGAATGCGTGCAGTTTCTCGCAGAGCACCAAGATGTCATGGCAAGGCGAAATTGGAAAAATATAAAAGATTTCGTTAGAAATCAGGAACAAAAAATGGGTGATCGTCTTTGAATTACGCAATATTTAATTCATTAACTCGTAATAGATTCCATGCATATAATTACGTTAAACACTTTTGCATGACCACACTGGCATTCCCTGCGAGAATTATCAAGCAAAAATGGCTCTAAATTAACTTGTAGGTAAAGTCGCCATATAATCGTACAAGAAAATTAAAAAAGTCTTGCAAAGAATGCTGGTCTTTGGGTCACGCAGAAGCCTTTGGTGTCTTATGTATAAGATCTTTTGATCTGAAACTAAACGAGTTTCGATATTTGCTTACAAAGAGACTTTTGAAACTATATACTCAATAGTGACAGTGACGATGTAACTATATACAGACTTCAATTTACAAATTGGGTTGTGGTGTTCGCAAAATGTGCAGAAACCGCTTTATAAGAAAACTTTCTGTATCGCAGAAATAATAGTCACGTTTATACCCCAAAACCATACTATATGCATCAATAGTATACAGCATGCAAGCTATACTAGGTGCATATTTTCATTCATATCCACTAAGAGCATGCATGAGTGAATTAACCATAGTAGTTTGAAGCAAAAAGCATCAGTAAAACTAAAGCCTGATTTATTGGAACGGCACGGCTAAAATGGGTACCATTAGATTCCATTTTTATGCCTGATGATGATGAACGATGAAATAATTTTCAGTTATTTTGCCCCACGACAAATAAGGAACTCTGCAAATAGCATGCAGTATCATACAAACATGTCTAACAAACTAAAGCCTGATTTTTATCAATCATTGAAAGTTGGCGACAACTATTGCCTTTTTATTATAACCTTCTTGGTTATTTTGAATAATTTTTCTTTGTCATGCACGAGCGATTATTTAATACTTATTTACAGATATCGTGTTTTGTTGACCCGAGAACGTACCCATGCATGCATGCACTGTATTAACGAAGTGTCTTTAAATAAGTGATTTGTTATTATATCTACAGGGTGTCCCAAAAAAAACGAAAACTATTGAAATCACCCATAACAATGTAATTGTTAGAGTTTGAATGCCTAAGCACTCTGTTGGGACCCACAAGTGTGTAAATGTTTGCCATAAGCATTTTTATGCATGCATATGATGCAGTAAAATTTGCTCGTACGCGAAAATGATATTTATTAACGTTATTTAAATGTGCATCTCAATCACCATGACCTTCGACATGTCCCCTTTCTGTAGCAACACAAAGCATTTAGCATTTTACTGAGTTGCATTAAATCCCCATGGGCTAAAATTCGTGCACGTGATTTCAATAGTTTTCGTTTTTTTTGGGACACCCTGTAGTGTCAAAATGAAGACTGGAAATGGCAAAAAGTTTAACAAATTCTTAAACCATAAGTTTTGAATACAAGACCAAATTGTCATTCTCAATTCTGATGATTTATTTAAACTGTAATCATTCAGGAAAATTATGAATTGCCCGCTCGTGTTGATAACGCATAATGATGGAGATTTGAAGCCCGCCACGCGTTGACCTCTTGTCCAATAGGAAACAAGAAAGCTTAATTTTGACACTATAGATGTGTAACAACAATACATGTCGGTGATCAATGAGAATCAGGCTTAAGTGAGCAAAATGCACAAGGTGAAATTTGGGAAGTTATTAATGTAATTTGTCTATAAATTAACGTAGTTACAGCAAAAAATGAATCATCCAAATTCATATCGCAGGGTGCATGTGTCAGTTATATAAGTTTTGTACAACATAATTTTTTATGTCTTCGAAGTAAAAGCTTGCGATGACTTTCAGAACTTTATATATGCTATATGTTTTCAATTAACACCTTATATGTTATAATTATGTTGTAACACCTTATATGTTATAATGTTATAATATACTGTTGTAATACAAAGGTTATAAAGGTTGGATAATCCAATAAAAATTTCAGTATCGTTTAAAAATGATATTATTTTTATTCATTCCTGTCACATGGTCAACAATGTATATACACTGGCGGTCAAAAAGAACTGCTCAAAACAAGTTAAAATGCTCTCAAATGAACGTAACTGTCCCTCTAACAATACATACGAGTAAATATAGACTAGATTACATGCTAAGCTGTATGAAATATTAATATTTTGTTGACCCTCTTTTGGCCTTATAATTGAATACGGCCTTACACCGGCGTAGCATACTTTTTGTTAAGGTGGCAATCTTGAGCAGTCAAAAGAAATCCATCCTATGGAAGTCTTTACAGCAACCCATAAATCATGGACGCTTTATGAATTAATTCTTTCTTGTACTATCCCCTTGACATTGTCCCACAAGTTTTTAATTGGGTTAAGGTATTTTTGACTGTGCAGGCCAATCAATTTCTGTCACACCCTCTTCCCATGAAACCATTGTCTGACTATCTTGGAAGTGTGGCAGGTTGCATGACATTACTGAAATATTGCTTGGAGTAAGAGATTTATCCAAAATGCCTATGATGCTCTCTCCTATATTCGCTTCTTCTTTATGAATTTGTATCTAAACAGTTCTTTTTGACCGCTAGTGTACAATAAAGATAGATTGTTACGATTCCTGTTACATACGACAGTAGCAACATTTGAGCAGTTCTTTTTGACCGCCAGCTAGTGTGTTTGTAAATGATTGAGTCTTTAGTTATCACGCATGTGTTGAGGAAAGCTCTTTTTCACTTTATCTTTAAACATAGGCCATGCCTAATGGGAGTAAAAAAATAATGCAATTCGTTTCATTTATAGTTGCTCTAATTTAAAAAACAAGGAAGTTGTGACGTAGTTATTAGGCTGATTAAGCTTTTCATATTTGCATGGTATTTACCTCAAAGAAGACGTAAAGGTGGGAATAAATGACGTATATATACGGCAAGCTACGCTATTCATTCGTCATCTTCAGGGACGGCAAAGGTCGTTATAAGTGGCTGTGGGGGCTAAAAATGCTTAACGTGAATGTATGAATATTAATTAAATAATAAACTAATAATGTTTAACGTGGATATATGAATACTAGCCTCCTTAACTTAACAACCTTTATCCACCCTTGAATCGTTGACGTCTTTATATATAAATTATATGCTAAATCTGCCTATTAAAACGGTCTTTTGAGCTCTTTCACTGAGTGACGTCATACTTCTATTTTTTTCTGACAATTATTGGGTGTGGCAAGCCACAATGCCCTTAATTAAAGGCAAAAAAATATAAAATGAGAAAATGGTAAACTAAGATGCAGAGATCAGTTGCAGTACGGCAGCTTAATAACCGTTTCGCCTTTCAAAAAACGTTTTTTGACGCTCATGTATTAAAATCTATTTACCGTTCCCTTTTCATCCCACTCAGAACAGATCAAATGAGTGACGTCGCCGAATCAACATATGACTATATGACTATGTTTTTGCCTCCCAAGCGTTATCATGTAATAAGTTATAATAATAATATTAATAATCAAGTTTATCTAATGAGGGTAACACATAACAGTTTAACACTAACAAAACAGTGGCCCTTTTAAAATCTGAAGTAGATTACAATAAATCTATACCATGAAATTATATAAAATTACAATATATATGTACATGAATATCAAATCAGGAAAGTTAATAACTAATTACTAAATTTAAAATGTTTAATATCTTTATACGATTCTTGAAAGTAACTGATTAACAAGATTTTTCAGGGGTGAACTTACAGATGAATTTATCTTAAGATAACATGGAAGGGATTTCCATATAGGCGTGATATCGACACTGCAAATGAGCGACCATCTTCGGTTTCTCGAGAAAAACGTGGGAAACCAAATTGTTTGAACCATGCCTACTTTCTCTATTATGAATATCCATATACATATTTGTCCATATCGTTTGAAAACTATAATAAAATTCATTTGTTCATTTTGGTCTCGCAATAAAAAGGAATCCAATTTGGTGTCTTAAAAATTTCAACACTGTTTGCTCTTGTAGCATATCCCAAGATCACACACGCGGCCCGTTTTGAAGCTTAAACACTTTATTTATGTTTTCTGATGAGCAAGAAGTCCACACAATTGATCCGTATAACATGGTTTGTTGTATAGCATCACAGTAATATATACGATCACTAATAGGTAAATATATCGTCGAATTTTACTGGGTATGTTGTTGGTCAACCGTATGGTACCTTGCATTGTAAGCTCAATCAAGAGATAAGTATCTGAGTTTCTTGTTTAGAATTAGCGGTAACCAGCAGACATTTCGTTCATGCGGAAACATTATCAAGGTGCATCTTTGACATCGGAAGAATAACTAACTTAGTGTTGCTGAGGGCACATCATTTATGGAAAGAGCCGGGGGAACAAAAGCGGTCCTAAAATGCTCTTTTGCAGTACGCCAGAGGCAACAATCCGGGAGGAAGAACGATTTCCATTGATATCGACGTATCCCAGACGGTCATGTAGATAATCGGGAATAAGATTGAGTTCATTTCCGCGTGCACCCCGTATTCTTCAAGTTTTTCCATATCTCCTTATTTGGTATATAGTATGTTAGCTACAAGTTTCATTAACAAATAATGGTTACTATGCATACTCGATAAAAAATAACGTCATTCGTATTTAAGTAGGCCGACATTTTTCGTCCCAAACGGGTTTCCGAAAAGACATTTTCGTCGCATACAAGGTTTTGGACCAACTTTTTACACTAACTTTCCCAGAGCTAGTGTCACTCCTCCCGCACCCCAGTGCGCGTCCCTGGTTTTATTGCTTCAAAATCAACGCCAGTATTTCAATGTTAAGAGTGGCCCACACACACTGGACGCACTTCACTAACACAACGCGAATTTTTTATTTTAAGAAACAAGTAAATTAAATTCTTAAAGAACATCTTGCGAGATATGGGTACCAGACCAGTCAAAATGCACATTTAATCGGTAATTATCAAGAATATCAGAACATGGTTAAAATTAGCAGCTTTTGAAAACTAAAAAAATCGTAAAAATCGCATCGCGTTAGCGAATCGTGTCCAGTGTGTGTCGGCCTTTGAACACTTATCATTCCTATTGATTTTGATATTTGATTTTGACGCCCCACCGGCATTTCGGCGCCACTCTTAAAATCGTCGCAGGCCTAGGGGCAGGGACAGGGGTCCCGCACTTCCCCTGCCACCACGCCCCTGCCCAGTAGACTACATGTCTGCCCAGTATAGGCTACATGTGTGATCTATTTCGAAGCGTTTATGAATTCACTGATAAACCAAGCTTTTGCTTTGTTGCTAATAAAAATGGGGCAAACTATGGAATCAGACACCTAATGAGAAAAGGAGCTCATTTTACAAATCTTTTCTCGACCTTTGATATCACTTCCTAAATATCGTTAAATTTGTATGTAAGTAATATAATAATAGTAATGCCCGTATTTAATGCTCATAACACCTATATAACGCTCATAACGTCTTTAACGCAGGTAACTCTAATAATATACCTCATAACATAACCTAATTTACAATTCGAAGCCTAACCAAAATTTTTCTTCAGCGCATTGTATACCACAGTACCTGTGACAGAGATGGCAGAACATATATTTTAATTTCCAAACCAATTATTAAAATTGGCAGTTCAAAATATGAACGGTGTCCATATATAGTCTATATATTCCCTGTTTGTGCGCAGAAAACTTAAAAGTAGGGACTTTAGCGTGAAATAAAATAATTTTACATTTACAATATGATCACAATGAACAGGATCTTTTTTTAGCATGTTAACAGAAACCGCGGAGCAGGGTAATTGGTCTTTAATTTCGAATATTTTTTAGTTCGCTCAAATTTACAAGCAATATTCTTAGCAATTTATACTTTCTGCTTGCATGCAAGCATATGCAGTGTATCTTATCATGAATACTATCGTTCGAAGCTTTTACTTTTTCAACGTATAATCTTAATAACCAATTCAAATTAAGAAATCAGTATTCTAATTTCCAACGATATCTGTCGTAATGAATCCGCTATGAAATTAGTTATGTTCATAACATATGTTTGGCCAAACATATGTAAAAAAAACAGACGGAAAAAAAAGACGAGCATGCATTTGACCATTAAAACAGCGTACGTAACCACGTAACCACGTTATCCATGTCAAAATATTTTACATAATAACCAAAGCATGCATGTTATATTTTTGGTATATTCGACCGTGGTCGAGTATACCGTTTTCCGGCCATATTCGATGCTTGCATGCAAGTTGCAGCTTTATATATATATATGTTTGTATATGAGCACCAAACATGTTTGAAACTTTACATAGGACCAGCATAAAACAGTGTGCCTATCCATGATACATTCCGGCACATTCGACCATTGTCAAGTATACCGTTTTTCGGCCATATTCGATGTTTGCAAGTTGCAACTTTATATAAATGTTTGTATATGAGCACCAAACATGCTTGAAACTTTACATAGCACCAGAATTAGACCATTTAACCTGCATGGTTATCCATGTCAAAATATTTGACATCATAATCTAAGCATGGTTATATTGTTATATATTGTATATCACCACAAAATAGGAACATGAAGTATATATTGACCACTAAAACAGCGTGGCCAGAATTAAATCATGGTCGAGTATGCAGTTTTCCGGTATATTCGACCATGCTCGAGTATGCCGTTTCCGCTTGTATACTCGACCATGGTCGAGTGTACCGTTTCCCAGTATATTCGACCATGGTCGAGTGTACCGTTTCCCGTTACCGTTTTCCGTGAAACTTTACATAGGTCTGTCTGTCATCACTCTGCCTGTCATAGCACCAGAATTAATATTAGACCATTTAACCTGCGTGGTTATCCATGCATATCAAAATATTTGACATCATAACCAAAGCAAGGTTATATTGTTTAATGTTTGTATATGAGCCCAAACATGCTGGAAACTTTACATATAGGACCAGCATTTGACCATTAAAACAGCGTGGTCATCCTTTTCAGACCATGGTGGAGTATACCTTTTTCCGGCGGCCATATTCGATGTTTGCAAGTTGCAACTTTATATAAATGTTTGTATAATATATGAGCACCAAACATGCTTGAAACTTTACATAGCACCAGAATTAGACCATTAAACCTGCGTGGTTATCCATATCAAAATATTTAACATCATAAGCATGGTTATATTGTTTAATGTTTGTATATGAGTGCCAAACATGCTGGAAACTTTAAAATAATCCTAAAATTGCGAGGCATTTGCGGCCATTTCAGAGGCCTAGGTATATTTCAAAATTTTCGCGGACTCTCCTGGCAGGTGCGCGGTTCAGAGCCCCAGCAATACGAGAAACGCTCCGCGGTCCCTGAATGTAGCGAACGGGCAGCAATTTGACGACCAGGGGCCGGTTGTATAAAAATGTAGCCTAGTTAACTCTTAATCATAGTTAGTGACAGAATTGACCAATCAGAGTACTGTATATCTACTTGAGTTAACCTACGAGTTTTATACAACTGGGGCAGGTTGTATCAAACCCGTTCAGCTTAAACGGTGGTTAAGTTCAAAATAGAAAGCAAGTCTATCGTTTTACTCAACAAGCGAACTAAATGTTTTTACCCCTTAATACAAAGATACTGTTTACAACTACGTATTTAGTGCATAATATTCAATTTCACTCATTCAAGAGAGATGTAAGAGTGTTATTTAATTTTGACTTATTCACCGTTTAAGCTAAACAGGCTTGATACAACCGGCCCCAGGCCCATAGTTATTACTTGTTTACGCTATAAATTCGTCATGTATTATAGGGGAGACGAAGTTCTTTAGGTTTGCTGCCGTAGCTAACGAACCTGATGCGAGCGAGAGATCCTAATTAATTTTTATATTGTGAGTAAAAGCCGGTCCAGATTTCCCTGACGCATTGTATTAGGGTGATTTTTTCGAAAACTTGAAACTTTGAAATTATGATTTTTTACTACTCTCTCATAACCGGCTGATTTTCATCAAATTTTTCATTTATGGAGGTTAATGTTTATTTCTTTTAGAGCAATTAAGAAGAAGATAAATTATCGAGAATCAGATTACTAAATTTGTGAAAGTAACAGTGAAACTTCTTTTCCATTCAGTGCAAAATGTCGCGCGATTGAGTTTTTGCGATAGCATTGAAATATGTTCGCACATGAAATATATATGTTCAATTAAGCTGGTTTTCCACCAGCGAAGCGACTTTATTCTTTTGTTTTGAGCAATTTGTTCCAGATGGTTGCGGTTGAGCGCTGTGGAACAAAAGTAAAATGTCGTTTCGCGTGAAAATAACGCTAGTGCAGGGAAGACTGGCTTTAAGGCAGGGCCTCTTTTAACTATATAACTGGGGGGGGCGAATGCTCCCCCCCAGCCTGGGTCCCCCGGCCCCACTGCAACCCCCCTCTTTGTCCATGCCCCCCATTGACGATTTCTTAAAAGAGGCCCTGCTTTAAGGTGGATTTCCACTTACAGAGAAATAGTTCACTAGCAAAATATTTGAATATTTCCTAATATTCCCTGGTTTAATTTCAAAAGAAAATTTGAAAATATTTCGCTGGCAAACCATTTCTCTGTAAGTGAAAATGCAGCCTTAAGCCTGTTTTCCCTAATGGCAGTTTCCAGCAACAACGCGGAATTTTGCTCGCGGAGCGGAATTTTTCTTTGCATGTTCACGATTTATTTTCCAAAAACAAAATCATTTGAGAAAAATAGAAAATATTCCAATCAACGTTTGCCTGGACTGAAAAGAGATGCAAGTAACGAAGGATACCAGGTCAGTAATCGATACCCATACCATGCTCGCTAGGATCGCACTAACTTCACTTTCTCGTGTTAACTTTGAATTGGCGGCTAAAAAACAATGAATTACATAATTGTTTGGGGCCAGGCTGGCTCCTATGATTGCGAATAAGAATTACCCCGGCAAAAGCGAGCTAGTCCGACAAAACCGGGCTTGCCCGTCTCATATGATCGGCCCCCTAGTCCAAATATATTTGTTGCCATTATGGTGGCAATCAAGAGCCAGAGAAAAAAATATATTACTACGCTGAGATTGCGCATAGTAAATTATAATAAAATTTATAATGAAATAATGTTAACAGCTGCCTATATACCCGAGTGCGTAGAAAGTAATTCTATTTTCCATAAATGTGTTATCAATTTTTCAGGGCAATTTTTTTCGGGGGCCCTAAACTTCAGGGGCCGGTTGTTCGAAAGGCGTTTAGCTTAAACGGTGGATAAGCCAAAGTTTAAAATTACTCTCATGCATCTTGTGAATGACTAAATATGCATCTTATGTATTAAATATGTACTTCCATTGACAATGAAGCTATTTACATCGAAATATTTCAGCTCAGTTGTTCAATGAATAAATAGTTTTGCTTTCCATTTTGAACTTATCCACCGTTTAAGCTAAACGCCTTTCGAACAACCGGCCCCAGGGCCCCCCGTCATTTGACACCCTGACACCCTGTCATTACGCCACTGCAACCACAAGGCAATGAACGGGTAGTCTGCAAAAATTCATCCTCGTCTTCAAGGCCTTTTTGAATCGACGGCGACTCTCGTCGAGTGTTGAGTGGGGTTGAGTGACATCCAGAATCCAGTGGCAGTAATGACAGTGACATTTTGTGACATCCTTGCCTCCAGGTTTCGGCCGCGGCGCGCCGCTGGCGCTTCGGAGTTCGGCTCAGTGGTTCGACCTCGCGGCTTGCAAATAGAATGGCGGTTGTTTTTCTTCAGCAAATGTGAAATGTAAAGAAATATTTCCAGTACTATTTGGTATATGTTTAAGCCAAAAATCTCAAGTTATGCTTTAGTTGCTGGTTTATTGCCAGGTATGTTGTTATTTCTTGGTTGTTGAATAATTTACAACTATAAAATCCGACTTCATTTTAATAAGTATTTGCATGTTTGTGTTTTGAATATTCATGAAGTTAAGATATTATTTATGTGAAAAATGCTCGTTAATACCGTTGAGAATGTTTTTACACCACAGAAAACGACTTTAATATTAGGTGTTGCTGGTTCAATTTTATGGCAATGAAATTGTAGCTTTACTTCTAAAGTCTAAACAACTTTACTTTATACTTGAGTGGTATAAATAATTCTACATGTACATATATCACCTTTCATGTGCCTGAATTCTATATCATTCAAGAACATGTGCCACCTCTTCATGATCTCACCATGCAGCAGTAAGTTCAGTACAACATCAGATCACTTTAAGGTAGCTCTTAGCAAAGTTTTAAGTTTCAAGCTTGATTTGGTCAAAATGCTTACTTGTTACAAAAAGATTGCTCAGCTGTTCAGTTGGTCCATTCAGATGAACTAGATGGTAACTTGGTTGGTCAACCCAGGAAAATACTTACCTGATTTTACTAAATAAATTACCCTAGTTTCTAAAATAATATGTGTATCTGAGCTCTCATAATCTGTACATGGAAGAAGGGAGGTAAAGAGTGTTCTTGAGAAATATATAAATATTTTAACACAAGATGCTGGTTTAAACTGATAGATTGAAGTAATGCCAATTCACTGTAAAGATATGTGCTTGTTAAATCAAAGAGAATTCTGTATAGTCTCCCTATTTTGGATGTTACATTCTTTATTTCCACCAGCTTTAATTTTAGCCATTTTTGCTGTCATCACTACTTTTTAACAATATTTTGGAATTTGTAAAGTCTTCAAATAAAACTATAATGATGAAAGGATTCCAACCAAATGTTAACATTCGCAAGCTGGAACTCATTAAGTTGGTTTATACCCATGTGCACAATTTATGGCTGATTCAACAAGGGTTACGGCATAGAAAATGTTAAACAGCAAACTCTTACTTATCTGGAAATTTCAATTAATTTCTTAAACTTTGTGATATGCTTTCTTGTAAAAGACCCAAGATCTGATTGTAATAGCACCTACATTTAATAATAAAGTCATTGAAAAGCATTACTGTTAATCAGCAAAATTTTTCTTTGTACATAGGTTTTAAATTATTCTCTGTTTTCTAGATTGACTGTTATGCAACATGCTCATACCTCTACTGCAAGATTGGTAAGTTATATATTTTCTTCTGTGTGCAAGAAGAACTTTTGTACCTGTAGTATGCTGAACGAGGTTGATGTTTATCAGGCTAGGATTTGTTGACTTCAGACGCACTGGAAGCAGTCAAGGGCAGGGGGGCAGCAACTCAAAAGAGGGCACTTTAAGGCCTGTTTACACTTGTTTCGCAACCACATCAGCGATCATAACTTGGATTATGTATAGTAAGACTGAAAAGATATACATGCAATGTCTATGAATATATAAAAGGCAAGCTGCCCCCATGAACAAAGGGCAGGGGGGGGGGGCAGCTGCCCGCATGGTTCCAGCACTTCTGGTTGATTTTATCTTTGCATAATACTAATTAAGTTGTTGATGTAGTTATACTAGAAATTCATGCATGAAGCACCCCTTGCCATTTTATAATATGGAATAGCAAGTTTATAATATTAAATGAATTAGTACTGGCAAGCATCCATAGCAAATATTTTTATGATTTGGTGCAATATATAGTCATAAAATGTGTTTATATATATGCTGCTGATTTAAAATATATACACTTATTTCCCCTAGAAATAGTCTGCCTATCAAAATTCTTGAGAGATTCTGTTTTAAAAGACACGGTAAAGTTTTAGGTGCGACAGAGTCCCTCCCTCATTGCTGCTACCGTGCTTTAAATGACTTTTAAATACAAAATGCAAGCATATTCTTACTTTGGCTATATGACAAGCCAAGTACGTGGCCATGCAAGTTTCTGACATGGACATATTTATTTTTCCTCTGGATAATATAATCATTTAACACAATTCTCTGTTTCTTAGACTGACTGTTTCACAGCACATTTGCATACTTCTACAACAAATCATTTTGGTAAGTTATTTTTCCTGTCTGTGTTTTTAACTCTTAGTTATTTATATCTTTTTATTGTGACACTTTATAAACACAGCATAGGCAATATATTTGCTATTTAGAATGAAATAATATCTATTTTACTCTTATGCTTTGGATTCCTAGGATATTAATTAGTGTTCAAATTCTGTCACCCCTTGATTGTTTGTTCTGAATCAAATAATGGTCGGTTCAGTGCATAAATTGTCTATTGCTGAGTCGTGCCCGTTTGCGACCAATTTTGTAATTCTGTAACTTTATTGTAACTCCATGCATGTTTCTAAAGCAATTGCTGGCATCTTTTGAACATTTCTTCCTGTTCTTCCATGCACCATATTATTAGAAATGTAACCCTCTATTGACGATTTTCATTTTTTCGTTTAAATCCAATGCACCACATGGGGCACTGTGCAATAGACCTTTAGACACGAAAAAATACAAAAGAAGACAAAAAAAATATGCAATGAGCAATGCATGAGCAACTTAGAATAGAATTCAATAATGCAATTGAATATTGCAGGGAACATGATTTAAGTTCTTTGAGTACTGTATACTACGAGTTGCATGAGCAGAAGTTAAAATTATTTTGCGACAGACGTGATGTTGGCTCATTAATGCATTGGGAGGGCACTGAAACTTTGGATCTTTGGATCCTTAGGTTATATAACTCTGAACCCTTATATCTTGAAAGGGTGTAATCTCGCACCTACGCACCTAATGCACCTGTAAATAGTCTGCCTATCAAAATTCTTGAGAGTTTATCTTTTAGAAGACACAGTAAAGTTTTAAGTGCAACAGAGTCCCTCACTCATTGCTGCTATTATGCTTTAAATGACTTTTAAATACAAAATGCAAGCATATTCTTACTTTGGCTATATGACAAGCAAAGTACGTGGCCATGCAAGTTTCTGACATGGACATATTTTTTTTTCCTATGGATAATATAATCACTGAACACAATTATCTGTTTCTTAGACTGACTGTTTCACAGCACATTCGTATACTTTTACAGGAGATGATTTTGGTAAGTTATTTTTCCTGTCTGTGTTTTTAACTCTTAGTTATTTATATCTTTTTATAATGACACTTTATAAACACAGCATAGGCAATATATTTGCTTATTAGGATGAAATAATATCTATTTTACTCTTATGCTTTGGATTTCTAGGATATTAATTAGTGTTCAAATTCTGTCACCCCTTGATTGTTTGTTCTGAATCAAATGATGGTCGGTTCAGTGCATAAATTGTCTATTGCTGAGTCGTACCCGTTTGCGACCAATTTTGTAATTCTGTAACTTTATTGTAACTCCATGCATGTTTCTAAAGCGAATTGGTGGCATCTTTTGAACGTTTCTTCGTGTTCTTCCATGCACCATTTTACTAGAAATGTATTCCCTTTTTTTGACGATTTTAATTCTTTCGTTTAAATCCAATGCACCACACGGGGCACTGTGCAATAGACCTTTAGACACAAAAAAAATACAAAAGAGGACAAAGAAAAAATATGCAATGCGCAACGCATGAGCAACTTAAAATACTGTAGAATTCAATAATGCAATGGGATATTGCAGGGAACATGATTTAAGTTCTTTGAGTACTGTATACTACGAGTTGCATGAGCAGAAGTTAAAATTATTTTGCGAGAGACGTCATGTTGGCTCATTAATGCATTGGGAGGGCACTGAAACTTTGGATCTTTGGATCCTTAGTTTATATAACTCTTAACCCTTATATCTTGAAAGGGTGTAATCTCGTGCCTACGCACCTTAGTCACTTGTAAAGTCTGCCTATCAAAATTCTTGAGAGATTCGTTTTAAAAGACACGGTAAAGTTTTAAGTCGACAGATTCCCTCCCTCATTGCTGCTACTGTGCTTTAATGACTTTTAAATACAAAATGCAAGCATATTCTTATTTTGGCTATATGACAAGCGAAGACGTGGCATACAAGTTTCTGACATGCACATATTTGTTTTCCTATGGATAATATAATCATTTAACACAATTCTCTGTTTCTTAGACTGACTGTTTCACAGCACATTCGTATACTTTTACAGCAAATCATTTTGGTAAGTTATTTTTCCTGTCTGTGTCTTTAACTCTTAGTTATTTATATCTTTTTATAGTGACACTTTATAAACACAGCATAGGCAATATATTTGCTATTTAAGATGGAATAATATCTATTTTACTCTTATGCTTTGGATTCCTAGGATATTAATTAGTGTTCAAATTCTGTCACCCCTTGATTGTTTGTTCTGAATCAAATGATGGTCGGTTCAGTGCATAAATTGTCTATTGCTGAGTCGTGCCCGTTTGCAACCAATTTTGTAATTCTGTAACTTTATTGTAACTCCATGCATGTTTGTAAAGCAAATTGCTGGCATCTTTTGAACATTTCTTCGTGTTCTTCCATGCACCATATTATTAGAAATGTAACCCTTTCTTTGATGATTTTCATTTTTTCGTTTAAATCCAATGCACCACATGGGGCACTTTGCAATAGACCTTTAGACACAAAAAAAATACAAAAGAAGACAAAGAAAAAATATGCAATGCGCAACGCATGAGCAACTTAAAATACTGTAGAATTCAATAATGCAATGGGATATTGCAGGGAACATGATTTAAGTTCTTTGAGTACTGTATACTGCGAGTTGCATGAGCAGAAGTTAAAATTATTTTGCGAGAGACGTCATGTTGGCTCATTAATGCATTGGGAGGGCACTGAAACTTTGGATCTTTGGATCCTTAGGTTATATAACTCTTAACCCTTATATCTTGAAAGGGTGTAATCTCGTGCCTACACACCTTAGTCACTTGTAAATAGTCTGCCTATCAAAATTCTCGAGAGATTCGTTTTAAAAGACACGGTAAAGTTTTAAGTGCGACAGAGTCCCTCCCTCATTGCTGCTACTGTGCTTTAAATGACTTTTAAATACAAAATGCAAGCATATTCTTATTTTGGCTATATGACAAGCGAAGAACGTGGTCATACAAGTTTCTGACATGCACATATTTGTTTTTCCTATGGATAATATAATCATTTAACACAATTCTCTGTTTCTTAGACTGACTGTTTCACAGCACATTCGTATACTTTTACAGCAAATCATTTTGGTAAGTTATTTTTACTGTCTGTGTCTTTAACGCTTAGTTATTTTTTTCTTTTTATTTTGACACTTTATAAACACAGCATAGGCAATATATTTGCTATTTAAGATGGAATAATATCTATTTTACTCTTATGCTTTGGATTCCTAGGATATTAATTAGTGTTCAAATTCTGTCACCCCTTGATTGTTTGTTCTGAATCAAATGATGGTCGGTTCAGTGCATAAATTGTCTATTGCTGAGTCGTGCCCGTTTGCGACCAATTTTGTAATTCTGTAACTTTATTGTAACTCCATGCATGTTTCTAAAGCAAATTGCTGGCATCTTTTGAACATTTCTTCGTGTTTTTCCATGCACCATATTATTAGAAATGTAACCCTTTATTTGATGATTTTCATTTTTTCGTTTAAATCCAATGCACCACATGGGGCACTTTGCAATAGACCTTTAGACACAAAAAAAATACAAAAGAAGACAAAGAAAAAATATGCAATGAGCAACGCATGAGGAACTTAGAATAGAATTCAATAATGCAATTGAATATTGCAGGGAACATGATTTAAGTTTTTTGAGTACTGTATACTACGAGTTGCATGTGCAGAAATTAAAAATTATTTTGCGACAGACGTGATGTTGGCTCATTAATGCATTGGGAGGGCACTGAAACTTTGGATCTTTGGATCCTTAGGTTATATAACTCTGAACCCTTATATATTGAAAGAGTGTAATCTCGCACCTACGCACCTAATGCACCTGTAAATAGTCTGCCTATCAAAATTTTTAAGAGATTCTCTTTTAAAAGACACGGTAAAGTTTTAAGTGCGACAGAGTCCCTCACTCATTGCGGCTACTGTGCTTTAGATGACTTTTAAATACAAAATGCAAGCATATTCTTATTTTGGCTGTATGACAAGCGAAGTACGTGGCCATGCAAGTTTCTGACATGGACATATTTGTTTTTGCTATGGATAATATATTAATCATTTAACACAATTCTCTGTTTCTTAGACTGACTGTTTCACAGCACATTCGTATACTTTTACAGCAAATCATTTTGGTAAGTTATTTTTCCTGTCTGTGTTTTTAACTCTTAGTTATTTATATCTTTTTATTGTGACACTTTATAAACACAGCATAGGCAATATATTTGCTATTTAGAATGAAATAATATCTATTTTACTCTTATGCTTTGGATTCCTAGGATATTAATTAGTGTTCAAATTCTGTCACCCCTTGATTGTTTGTTCTGAATCAAATGATGGTCGGTTCAGTGCATAAATTGTCTATTGCTTAGTCGTCCCCGTTTGCGACCAATTTTGTTGATCTGTAACTTTATTTTAACTCCATGCATGTTTCTAAACCGAATTGCTGGCATCTTTTGAACGTTTCTTCGTGTTCTTCCATGCACCATTTTACTAGAAATGTATTCCCTTTTTTTGACGATTTTAATTCTTTCGTTTAAATCCAATGCACCACACGGGGCACTGTGCAATAGACCTTTAGACACAAACAAAAAATATGCAATGAGCAACGCATGAGCAACTTAAAATAGAATTCAATAATGTAATTGAATATTGCAGGGAACATGATTTAAGTTCTTTGAAACTGTGTACTGCGAGTTGCATGAGCAAAAGTTAAAATTGTTTTGCGACAGACGTGATGTTGGCTCATTAATGCATTGGGAGGGCACTGAAACTTTGGATCTTTTGATCCTTAGGTTATATAACTCTGAACCCTTATATCTTGAAAGGGTGTAATCTCGCACCTACGCACCTAATGCACCTGTAAATAGTTTGCCTATCAAAATTCTTGAGAGATTCTGTTTTTAAAAAACACGATAAAGTTTTAAGTGCGATAGAGTCCCTCCCTCATTGCTGCTACTGTGCTTTAAATGACTTTTAGATACAAAATGCAAGCATATTCTTACTTTGGCTATATGACAAGCCAAGTACGTGGCCATGCAAGTTTCTGACATGGACATATTTATTTTTCCTGTGCATAATATAATCATTTAACACAATTCTCTATTTCCTAGACTGACTGTTTCACAGCACATTCGTATACTTTTACAGCAAATCATTTTGGTAAGTTATTTTTCCTGTCTGTGTCTTTAACTCTTAGTTATTTATATCTTTTTATAGTTACACTTTATAAACACAGCATAGGTAATATATTTGCTATTTAAGATGAAATAGTATCTATTTTACTCCTAACATCTTTTTCCCTGCAATATATATTTTTAGGATGGAACATGTGAGAAATCCTTTTGACCTTTGTTACATTGACCCATTTAAAAGATCACTATTAAGCAAACTTTGACTGAGAGTTTTTTAATGATGCATGTGGTAAGTTTATTACAATTTTTGTTAACATTTAACAAAATCTACTCTGTCACTGTTACACTATGCAATTTTCTTGCAACTCTTAGTGCAATTATAGTTTTGAGGGATGTTAGATTGTAGCGAGTGTTCGAAATTTTAAAAAAGTTAGCAGGTCGTAATAAATGTTCGTATTTGACAACATTAGATGGCGCGGGAGTAGAATTGCATTGCAAATTGTAAGAAAAGTTTGGTGAAGATAGGTAAATTGCCTCTTCACAACAGTTTGTTAATTATAGCGGCTTATATTTTCACTCACCCATAAAGTCAACCCTACAAGTTTTCAACACATCAGGACTTGTGCAAGAACTTTTACACTGTGAGGACTTACTGTACACTCAGGTCCCCATAAAGTCATCCCTACAAGTTTTCAACACATCAGGACTTGTGCAAGAATTTTCACACTGTGAGGACTTACTGTACACTCAGGTCCCTATAAAGTCATTGCTACAAGTTTTCAACACATCAGGACTTGTTCAGGAACTTTCACATTGCGAGGACTTACTGTACACTCAGGTCCCCATAAAGTCATCCCTACAAGTTTTCAACACATCAGGACTTGTGCAAGAATTTTCACACTGTGAGGACTTACTGTACACTCAGGTCCCCATAAAGTCATTGGTACAAGTTTTCAACACATCAAGACTTGTTCAAGAACTATTACACTGTGAGGACTTACTGTACACTCAGGTCCCCATAAAGTCATCCCTACAAGTTTTCAATACATGCGTGCGCGTGTGCGGCGATTTTATCAAGACTCAGGCGTTCGCGGCGATTATTTGCTGTGTTATGGCTAGCTATATTTAATTTTGCGAATGCCCAAAAACGAAATTAGTAATTGAACTTGTAAAGTTGTTTGTAAGTTCTTTGTTGTTATAAACTGCATTTTTGATAGTCCCACAAAGTTACGAATAATTCGTAACATCACCCAAAAATTTAGAGTCAAATTTGCAATGAATTTGTTGGCAATTTGCTGGTATATATACGTCTTCACATCCTCAGCCAATTCTTAGTTCTCTTAGTTACTCATCAAAATCATCAGGTATTCTTGCGCTAGCTCTTTCCATCAAATCAGAAAGTTTCTTATCCCAGTCAGTTCCACTTTTTGGGTGGGATTACATATGTACGTAAATTTTATTTAGTTACGAATCAGTGCAGCGAACGAGTGTACTTAGCGATCCTTCACAGAGAGGAAATGATTAACCGTACAATAAGGTAACTTGTGACATTTTCCTGTAATAATTTTAGATACATGTAAGATATGGGAGGACATTTTGTTTAGTCACGATAATAACTATCAGGACTTGTACTATAATTTTCACATCGTTTTTCAAGATAGACTAGGATAGTGCAAAGTTTTCATGCCCTCTAAGCAACCAGACGTTTGTCCCTACATAAACATTTAACTTATGGTAGTAAAAATATAAAGAACTAGGTTAAACATTAGTCATCACTCTTAATCAAACCGAAAATTACTCAAAGTACTCAAATTTCGTTAGTCTGGATATTATGGTAGGGCCAAATACGAAGTAAAATAAGTCGTGACTTATTTAAGACGCGACTTAAATAAGACGCGAGCTGGTATAAATAGTTAGATGATTTTTTCGCTTATTATTTCCGTATTTAATGTTGTTGCCGCTCCACGTATCGCTTTTTTTTGCTGCAATTTATCTCTTTATGGTGTCAGCTTTGCTTACATTTTCAGCAATTCTGATTTCTGACTTTTTCGGCCGTTTTTAATTTAATTAAGACGCGTCTAAAATATGAACAGGTAAAATCTCTGTTCTTATCTAAGTCGCGACTTACATGGCACGGGTCTTACCTAACACGCGAACAAGCATTTTGGTTCGTTTATACGACGAGGTCGCATCTTACTTAAGTCGCGTCTTAATTAAATAAGTCGACTCGTGACTTATTTTTCCTCCTATAAATGGCCCTATGGTCATTATAATTATACGAGGTGTTTGCGGCTTATCGTTCGCGTTTGCGCATGTGCTAAAGTATGAAAGTCAATGAATAATTTTCATATGTGTAATAGATGTGTCTGAAGTGTATTTTCGCAAATATATTGCTTCGAGGAAATATTTCAAAATCAAGCGTAAATAGAGATTAAAGTGTAACAAATTGTCTGGCGTTCGAATCCTCGATATTATTTGCGCGCATTTTGTCTCCAGTTCGGAACTGTGTGAAAGACCATAGAAAGACCCGGTATTATAAACTTCATTAAAAATAGGGTGTAATTGGTGCCTTCACAAGTATTTCCGGCGTACAAAGACTTTCCGTATAAATGCTTCGCAGCCCTCACAGGTCAGTCTGGATGTCACATTTATTGAATGTTTATGTAAAATATTACATTTATTTGGTGGAAAAACTATTAGTTACTTTTGATATTTTTTTGAAATTCCATCCTGTTAATTTACTACTTTTGAACACATCATGTTTAAGACTGTTAAACAGGAATAAAAATAATATACTATATCATATTATTCAATTATATATTGGAATAAGATTGATAATTAGAATTCTTCTTTAGGTACCAGTTGTCAAGTCCAGTTATAAGGGCATCATTGATGGAATCTGATTGGTGATACAAGTTACAACCGAAGCAAAATTGAGTCTAACATATCCTCATGTCCCTGCATTTTGATCAAAGGACTGATTAAAACCCATCAGCCAAATAGACTATAGACCAGGAATTGTCTAGCATTTAGAAACAATGACTGTGAGTATGTGGAACTTATAAGACCTGAAATGCATTCCACCTAAAAGAAAACGTATGTCTTACAATAGTAAACCGCACATACTAGTATCCATATAAGTAGATCACTGCTGCTTCAGTGTTTTAACACTGGTGAGTTCTAATTATTATGGCTATCAGGAATAAACAAGTAATTTAAGTCAACGAAAAAACAATGTATTAACTGCTGTGTTGGTATATTTTAATATTTGATGGATTTTCTTACTGAAATAAGATACACCATACAATTTAAGCCTGTATTAATTAATAATATGCTGAGGAGTTCATTAAAATTTGTAGTTTGTAGCAAGGAATGGATTGTGTGAAATATGTTTTAAGCATTGTGCATTGCAATTTAACTAACAGGTGCCAGGTACCCCAAGTTTTTTTTTTTAAATATCTAAAATGATCCTCCCTTTAATAGGGAGATCTATATCAGTAACGCATGGAAAAGGACCAGAATGTTTTTGATTGCAACAACCATAGCCAGGCACATTTGTATTAAACTGGAACATTTTCTGGGTGTGGTTGATAGATCCACCTGAAAATTCATTGATTGTCCTCTTCCCTGAATTCCATCTCTAGCTCCTTGTCCTGCTCACTCCACAGGTTTTAATTAGAGTATAATTCTGAATCCTATAATATTATAACAGGGTATGAAGGTCAGCCGGATATATTTTATTAACTTCCAAGTTTACTCGAATTGAGTTAGAGGTCATTTAAATTCGGAACAAAATTACTAGAGTATCATCCTTTACCAAAATTTAATAATCCAACAATCATGCACTGTAAACATCAGGGTTGGCAAATCTTCTTATCTTATTTCTTCTTACTGTATATCTTCTTATATTAATGTAAGAAATAAGAAGTTTTTAATTTTAAAAGATCTTATATGCAACCCTGGTAAACATTATAATATAATTATCTCAAACTTAGATACAATCCTGACATACTTACCATATGGCCACTGTCGCTGTCTGGAAATTTTAATTGATCATACAGGTATCGAAATTCTCTTCAATGCATTTGCTTGGAGAACACTACCCAAAATTTTGCAGTGGTAGAAATTTCACTCATTCTAAAGCCACTCAGGTTGCGACATAAACGCCGGTTTAATCGGCTTTGTTTTTAATGTTTTTTAACGATACACGCACAAAAATTGTCAAATTGATCCACGATATATGTTCCAGTGGTAGTTTTTATAATATTTAAATGTTAGTGATCTAAATGACAATTGTTGAATGGTTTTATAAAACTCCACTCCTGACGCGTCCGCCATTTTAATTTAGTTGTGGAATACTTCATGTTGTGCAAATGAACTGGATTAAAAACAAAAAATGTAAACAAAGCCAACCTCGTACCCAGGAACCCAGGGTCTTTTTACCTCCGCCGCGGGGCCTTGGAGCTTGAAAAAAAGCTCGCACATGCGCAAAAGCGACTGTAATCTAGCTTTAAATAAGTCGCGACTTATTTTTTCTCCTATAAATTATGTCTGTGATGCGGATACTTCGACGCGTAAATCGATACAAAGCAATATACTTATAATCAATACTGTATACAGCCAAAATGATTTGATTACTGCACAAAATGCGCGTTTTGTATGGTATAAATGATTTACTGTATGCAGAGTATCAGGTACGGACTTGCTATCGACATAATATAAATTCGTGTAAGAGATGAATCAATGTATAAACTATACAGCGTCGTTTAATTTAAGGTTTCATTGCTTAAGTTTTAAAATTTGTAAAACTGATCAGAATTAACTATTGTCTAAAAATGACTAATCTTTTAAAATCAATAAGAATTACCATGGTTATACATTCGAGTCCCCACAATGTTTACACAAACGTTGCATGGTCCCCACAATGATTACACTCAAATTTTCAAGTCCCCACAACGTTTACACTATGAAGTCCCCATAACGCATGTTTTATGAAATTTTACACAGGTCCCCACAATGTAGGGAAAACTTACGCCATCAGAGGTCCCCACAACGCCATCTGCGTACGTATGTATGTGTGTGTTTGTGTTTTTATAATATTTATAGAAAATTGGTTTCTTGGAAGAAGACTATAAAGACAGGAAAAAGATGGATCTGGCGAACTATGCAGGTGTTATTTTCGCCATTTGCCTCCTTCCGTCACTGATATCATTTATCTTTGGTTTAATATTTTGGGGTTTAAACCCCAAACTGAGCGAAAATTTAATGGCAATATTTTTGAAAAGCATAGTCACTAAAAAAATTATCGACCATTGATTGACGTTTCTTGTCTGCAACAGAAAACTTACATCTAACAAAAGAAAATATTTTATGCTCACTTCACTTATAGTCATTTCTTTGTGCGTTCAGCTATTTTGTCTTCTCGCTTTTGTTGACCTGACGTATGACTGTAATCACAGCTGGATTATCGGGTCAGAACGTAGAACACGGAATCGTATAATTTGTGGTTTTATATTGATGTAATTATTCGATCTAACAAATAATGATTAACAATTAGATTAGTAAATATAAGTTTAGGTTACATTGGGTTTAAATCATTCTATCTTTATCGCATTCTATGTTAATATTATAAATCTCTTTACTTACTTCTTGCCGGGTCTACGCGTTCTACATAATCTTTAAATAATCACACATAAATCAAATTAAACAGGTTAGCTAACAGAATAAAACTCCTTTTCACGCAAACGTGCTCTCGTATCTCTACCTAAATCAGTTCAGTGTTCCTTGGTTCATATTACCTATACAATCTCGTGCAATTAATCAATTAATGTCAATCAAAGTTAATATTATTAAGTTCGTACTTAGTCCCTCATCGAAACAACAGCCCAGACATCGATTGTTTCAAGAAGAAAGACGAAGTGAAATTAACCGACACATTTGCTTACGACGAATCGCCTGTCAACTGTTCATCTATATCAAGTAATATTTTCGTGATTTGCTACCGTATCACGATTTTTGACGCCGAGAGAGCTTTTATTGCCGCAGCTGCTGCATACCTGCTATTGAAGATGTTAAATTTTGGCTTCCTGGTCATTTCCCACATAATGCTACAGGCTGCAATGAGATGGAGGGGCACAGCAAAGATGAATAACCTTAAACTAGGACTCTCGGTTACAGTTACCATCATCGTATTTGTTCCAATAATTTTAAGAATCTATTTGGACGAGGTTGAATTAGCATTTCGAAAGGTGTCATACACATTACTGTTGCAATGCGGGATTGTCGTTTTGTTCATCCTCTATTTTGTTGTAGAAAACCCATGGGAAGAATTCAGTGATAGTGAAGAATATCTTGACAACGCATCGTTACCAATCAACAATGTTACAGACAGCGAAATGACCGTCCGAAGTGAACAGCGCTCTCGAAATACTGTAGGGATAGAATGAAACTATTAATTACCACGCGTTGCAACGCTATGCGGGCATAGCTTGCGGGTCGCCTCCTAATACGATGAATTGCTACCCCCTGCCTGCATGTGCGGGCAGCTGCATTGTGCATTGTTTTTTGCCTGTTTTCACACTAGACACGCATTATGCGTCTGGACGTAATATATTTTGTATGGTTATTCGTCTTCAGTGTAAAGACGGAGAACAAACGCGTTATCCGTTGGGCGATTACTGTTGGTTATGCGTCTCTATATGACGAAAAACTGAATATTAATCATCTGGACGTATGCGCCTGTTGTGAATATTTATACTGCAGATGAATAACCAGTGTGTAAATTTCTAGTGTGAAAACTGCCAATTTGTTAAATAATGTGGCTTGCAATGTGCTATTCTTTTCTTCACGCTCACTTTACACACAAATACACACGCCGAGCGCAGTAATCCTGTACCAAAAATGCCGAGCGATTTCGAAATGGTCTATTTTGTTGCCCTCATAACTCATCGCCGGCCAACTGCTGTTCGCATGTTAGAAACCCGTAAGACGATTCTATTTCGTCATCAGCTTATGTTGTGTGAGGTTGTACGAGAGAGTGGAGCGCATGCGCCAACCAGTTGTGTTGTTCACGCGCCAGTGATCAGTCGCTATTTTTTGGAGCTCGATGGTTCATGCTTGAATTTCGTCCTGAATCTTGCCTGAAATCTATCTGAAGACCAAGATTTCAGCTAAGTGTAGCCTTTCATGTTATAGTGTCTTGTTATAGTGTCTTGTTAGTGCTTATATTTGTCAATGTCGGTTTGCGAAAGCGCAGATATAGTTGATGAAATTTCGGCTGTTGAGCGGGAAGACTCTTCGCCACAGCAGTCGTCTTGTAACGGCTCAGTGAGCACAAAAGACGACCGATTGCTTTCCTTTCTTAGCGATATGCGAGAAGACATGCAACTTACGCATAAATTATTAGCACAAATGCTTGCACAAGGCAACACAAGCTCATCTCAAGGAGATGAAAATTTTGGCGGGAAACGCAAAGCCAAGATGTTTGAGGTCGCCGTTCCCAGCCACGTTAACGCTAATAAGCGTAGTAAAAACACTCACACAGCTTCAGAGAAAGCAACGAAACATGCTTCAGAGAAAGCAACAGATAATGCTTCAGAGAAAGCGCAAGAACTCGCTTCAAACGATGAAGTGCATGATCAGACTCCAGATGAGTCAAACATAGTTGAGGACGACATATTAAGCGTCCATGCCGGAGTAGATGAGCTAATCGATCAAGCCGAACTAGATTCCGATGAGAATGAGGAGGTTGAAGATCTCCTCGCTGTTATCAATGAGTCTTTAAACCCTTCCGATGAAACTGGGGCCCCTGTTTCAGAACGATTGGCCAAATTGGTGAATGAAAAATTCACACTTGATTTTGACTTAGAAAAACGCAAATCTATAATGGAGAACTATAAGACTCCTAAGAATTGTGATCAACTTTTTTCCCCCCGGGTGAACCCTGAGATTTGGGGGAGATTGTCGAGTTCTGTAAAAAGAACAGATATCAAATCCTCTGTCTTGCAAGATATCTTGCTAAGCGTATCCTCTGCTATGGTCAATACAATGGAGGCTTTGCTTGAGAGCAGAGGGAAGAAAGCCTTTCCAAATTATGAGGCACTTTTGTCTAATTTGACAGATTCTATTGCCCTACTAGGGCATGTGCACAAAGAGATATCATTTAATCGCAAAGATGCACTCCGGTATCACCTCAATCCGGAATTCCGACAAGCATGCTCCCGGGTTGTTAAGCCTACAAGGTTTTTATTTGGGGATGATCTTTCCAAGACCATCCAAGATATTCGGGCCACAAACAAAGTTGTTAATACTGTGGCCCAGGGAACTTTTTCCAATCGTGAGTCATCCCGATTCAAAAGCCCACAGGCATACCCGACCACAGCCCGAAAACCTTTTTTATGGCAAAGGGGGAGGGGGACATACCACAGCAAGAACAACTTTCGTCAAGGGTTCCGTCAACAACAACAGACGTCCTCAGCCCCTCTCAAAAAGAAATCTATGAACAACTCACGTTTTTAAAATCTCAGTTTCAGGTAAATAGTTTTTCTGTTTTTATGGAGGGCCCATTTAAATCTATGTTATGTCTAGGGTGTCATCTTTCCAAGGAGGGCAGTTGTCCTCTTATTACTCTGAATGGGCAAATTTCACTTCAGACAGCTCAATACTTGAAACTGTTTCGGGTGAGAAATTAAATTTTATAGAATTTCCAATAGCTTCATCTTACCCATTAAATAGCATATGTAAAGAACACTACTCATTAGCTGATGCGGAAATTAAAAGCTTACTAGAAAAGAGGGTAATTATAGAGTGTTCGCATGAAGAAGGAGAATTTATCTCCCCTGTATTTACTGTGCCTAAGAAGGATGGACGAGTCAGATTGATACTCAACCTGAAAAAGTTAAACCAGTGTATACAAAACTACCATTTTAAAATGGAAGGCATTCAAACCATTATGAAACTGGTAACTAAAAATTGCTGGATGGCTACACTTGACCTAAAAGATGCTTATTACAGTGTCAAGGTGGACCCAGCTTACCAAAAATATTTAAAGTTTTTCTATAGAAACAAGTTGTATAAATACTTAGCTCTTCCCAATGGTTTGGCTACATGCCCTAGAAAATTTACCAAACTTATGAAACCACCACTGGCTCAGCTTAGAGAGAGGCATCATATTATTAGTGGGTACATTGATGACTTCTATTTGCAGGGTCATACTTATGCTAGGTGTGCTAATAATATTCTTGATACTGTAGAAACCTTTGACAGGCTAGGTTTAGTTATTCACCCAGAAAAGTCTGTTACCTCCCCATCACAAGAAGTTATTATTCTGGGGTTTGTTATTAACTCTATAACAATGACTATCAGAGTTACAATCGAGAAGAAGGAAAAAATAAAGAAGCTTTTGATTGCCGCTATTGCAAATCCTGTAGATATTTCTATAAGGCAGGTAGCTAAGATTATTGGTTGCCTTGTCTCTTCTTTACCTGGAGTCCAGTATGGGGCTTTGTATTACAGATACCTTGAAATGGATAAAATATCAGCTCTTAAAATAGCAAAAGGAAATTTTGATGCCCCCATGACTATCTCTGAAGATGGTCTTGTAGAGTTAAGATGGTGGGTTACCCATATAGATGAAAGTTTTAATTATCTAATGTCTTTTCCCATTGATATTACCATATACTCTGACGCATCCTTACAGGGATGGGGAGCCGTACTCGGAGATACATCCTCAGGGGGGAGGTGGTCTCCAGAGGAACGTACAAATCACATCAATTATCTTGAACTTCTGGCAGCATTTTTTGCCCTAAGATTGTTTTGCAATACCATTCAGAGAAAGCATGTTAAACTCATGATAGATTACCACAGCAGTAGCAGTAATTAACAACATGGAACTTCCCATAGTCGTGCTTGTCACTCGATTGGCTGCCAAATCTGGCAATTTTGTATCAAAAATAACATTTGGCTTACTGCTGCTCATATTCCTGGTTCTGCAAATGTCCTAGCAGACAAAGAATCACGCCATTTTCAAAGTCAGGATAGAGAATGGAAACTTAATCCCTTATATTACGTAATGCACTCAATACTTTAAAATTTCAACCTGAGATAGATCTTTTTGCATCACGCTTGAATAAACAATTTTCAATATTGTTCTTATAGACCAGACCCTGAAGCAATGTTTGTTGATGCTTTTTCTATCTCATGGGGTGACTTAAAGTTTTATTGTTTTCCCCCGTTTAGTTGTTTGTTACAGGCCGTGAAGAAAATAATCCAGGAGCAGGCCCAGGGAATTTTAGTTGCTCCAGACTGGCCCACCCAGCCTTGGTACCCTCTGCTGGCCCTGCTTCATGTTCAACCGCCAGTAATCCTACAACCCAGTCAAAAACTGTTGAGACTTTGTCACTCTCCGGAAATAACTCACCCCCTGTGCAGAAAACTGAAACTTTTAGTATGTCATGTCTCAGGCAACAACTACAACGCCGTGGCTACTCGCTAAGATCCATTCAAATCATTGAATCCTCATGGAGGGATAGCACAAGATCTCAATACAAAGTGCACCTACAAAAATGGTTGCAATTTTGTATGGCGAGGGACTGTGATATTATATCACCCCCCTTACCACGGGCGTTAGATTTCCTGTCATCCCTGTTCGACTCGGGGTTATCTTATAGTTCAATAAACTCGGCGAGGTGTGCTTTATCTACTGTTCTGGAGTTAAGTGATAGTCACGTTACTTTTGGACACTTACCTATCGTCAAGCGCTTTATGAAGGGCATATTCGAACTACGTCCGGCTCTCCCTCGCTATCAGACAACCTGGGATGTCAGCAAAGTTTTAGATTTCTTCCGCAAGCAGCCAGTGCCTTCCGTGATGACTTTAAAAGATCTTACGGTTAAAGTTACCTTTCTATTATCCTTACTAAGCGGACAACGTTGTCAAACGATACATCTTTTAACTATCGATAATATGATCCTCCTTGCTGATAAGTGCACCTTTCACGTAATTATGGAGAAGGTAAAACAGACACGGGTCGGAACCCATGTCAAGCCCCTAGAGTTTTTGAAGTATTCATTAGAGCCTCAGCTTTGCATCGTTACTCATCTCTTAGAGTATGTCAAGAGAACTGCCGGTCATAGGAACGACATGAAGCAATTGCTACTTAGTTATATAAAACCATATGGACCTGCCTCAAAAGATACCATCTCTCGGTGGATCAAATCTGTTTTGAATCTGGGTTGGATGTTTGGACCAAGTTTTAGAGTCACAGTGTTCGCGCAGCATCTACATCATTTTTAGCGTTCAATAACTGTAACATCAAGGATATCATGTTATCAGCAGGGTGGTCGAATGCACAGACATTTCAACGCTTTTATAATAAGCCGAGGGAAAAAGATGAATTTAATTTTGGCGACTCTGTCTTACAGTGCTATACAGACGCTAGTAGCTCATAGACCTTATACGTTAAAGATACTTAGTTTGTTTAATGTTACACAATTGGTGGTTTTTTCCTTTTTCAATGCTATCAATAAATATCAAAATTAGTGGTTACCAGGGACAAAAATTTTTTCACAACCGTTTTGGGACAAAGCCCTCAATGATCGCTCTAAAATCTCGTACAACCTCACACGACATAGGCTGATGACGAAATAGAATTAAAAATTAAACGAAACTTACCTGGAAGTTGAAGTTTGATTTAGATTCTATGAGTCATCAGCCGGGAGTGTGGGAGTTGTACGCCCTCCCATTACATCTCTCTTTCCCTTAATAATTGGCACACTCCCACACTCATCACTGAGGTCTTTGTCCGGTAGCTCTAAAGACTGGTTGGCGCATGCGCTCCACTCTCTCGTACAACTCCCACACTCCCGGCTGATGACTCATAGAATCTAAATCAAACTTCAACTTCCAGGTAAGTTTCGTTTAATTTTTAATTCATATTATACTATTAATCTGTGACCAAAGAACTAATATTAACCAAATAGCCCTCGGCAGTCGGCACAAGCAACGCGAGGTTAATGTCTAGCGGGTACCTTGTCGAAATATGTAAAAATATAACAAAATAAATATAACATAGAATAAATACAACATAAAAACTTTATAGACATCTTTAGATAAGTGAAATTTATTCCACTTTTAGTCGCACTATATAATTTGAAATATTTTATTCGCCTTTATTTATGGCATACTTAACTGCATGCGGTTTTTAGGCTATTTCTGGACAGTAGGCCTATTGTTTTTTTTCATTTCTTACTCCGAATTTAGCACATTTAAAGAACAAGACGAGAAGATTGGGTGCAGATAAGCTGCAAAGTGATATTTGTATAATAAAACTCCGAAATACACTTTTGAGAGAAGTTTTAGCAATGATGTAAAGCTTTAAACGGTCGGTTAGCTCCTTGTAAAACGATTGAATGACATACCAAAGCTCGTACTTGTCATGATCAAAATAACAATGCATTCTTACAGCAAACACTGAATAAGCAAAATATAGACACTCGTACCACTTCAAAGATTAGAGACCTTAAGATCGACGACGGGAACAGAGAATGCGGGAAATCGGAAGTGTTTTTTTTTTAATAATTGCTTTTGTACGCATGCATGACCTCCTGTGCTGTGTCGTAGAATACGTTTGGTTAGCTGGTTTGCCATCTTCTAGAAAACGTAAGTTTTTTATGATATTTTCTACTTTATTCTGTTAGACATTCAAATATAACCTTTTTGAATGGAAAAAAAAATACTTATTTAATGATGGCATAAAATATATACTCGTTTATACAAAGGAAATTGACCGACTTTTTCATTTTTAAGATAGGTCTTCCCAAAATGGCTATGCAATCAGTTGAGAAGGAGAAACCTTCACGCAGGAAAACTCAGTAAGTGATTAAAATTTCTCTAATTTTTAAGATAAGGACAACAAACGATTTTTAAATACACAAGGAAATGTTTACCTTATTTGCTATTGATTGCATTTCTCAAAATCACAGATTTTGTAAAAGTGCAGGCTTTTTCAATGCAGATTGAGATGTAAACAAGTAAAGGTTTTTCAGTGAATAGTCAGATATGTACCATTTAAAAGAGGAGTTTTAGCCTTTCTGATTATCTTGTTGTTTACCTTAATTCACATATTTATATATAGTGTTCACTTGTTTATAGCAAATGAACGATTTGTTCCACATTGTGTACATGTTTCACTGATCAATGTAAAGTGCTTATAACATCAACAAATTATTGCATAGAGCTTTTCAAAAAACTTGCTTACAAGCAAAATTAGTGCAGTTAAGGGCTCTTTGGAGACTGTGTTAGAAGAAGTAATTTGTGCAAAATCTAATTTTTGTTTTTTTTCACTAATTTAGTGCTATTGTCTGGACTGATTACCATGACATTTTATTGTGCAGAGAAATTTTGGTAAAAAATCCTTTTCAACATAAGAAGAGTCCAACTGAGCGTGGTCAAGTGTGGTTGGAGATAGCGACAAATCTTTCACATATCAAAGAACCATGCAAAGTTTAAAAATGAATGAACGTGCAGTTCGGGAGCGATACAAACTTCTATCAAGTAAGCTTCGAAGAAAGTTAAGCAGCGAGGAAAGAGCATCAGGAATAGATACCAATATGTCGGAAGTTGAGGACATGGTTGAATAGCTGATTCAGATTGAAGATGACTCTGCAGAAAGAAAAAGATTGGGTGATGAGGAAAACAAACGGAAGGCAGATGAAGATAAAGGGAGTGCAAATGATATACGTTTGAAGGCTATAAAAAACCTTGGAGAAACTAAAAGACGAAAAGAAAATGAAGGTGACGTTCAGAAAAACAATAAAAAAAGAAGTCTAATAGCATGCAGTGAGACCATACAGTATTTAAGGGGAAAAAATGAGCTTATGGTTAAGTTTAGAATGGAGGACAAGGAATTGGAAGAACAAAGACAAAACGAGGAAAGAAAAAAGCATGATGAGTTCATGAAAATGATGTTGCAACAGCAGCAACAATTCCAAGCTATGATTATGCAACAACAGCAGCAGAAAAATCAGATTGTGATGGCTGTTATTTCAAAACTTGGATCAAAATGACTTTCTAAATGACACGTTGATGTTTTTTTAAAAATATATTGAATTGTCGTTTTAATGATGAACATTCATAATTTTGTTTCATAATTTATTGGTTTTGCTGCACTATTTGCTGGCTATTTACACTTCAGATATTGCATGTAAACACAAGATATATTAAAGATGTTAATTTGTTCATGCAATTTTCTTTAATTAATGATTTTGTGGATGTAAGTATTCTTGTAGATTTGGAGGTTCAAGACCAAAGAATGTTGATGTTGTGTTACCATACATGCATGATAATGCATTACTAAGAATTGCACTTGTAATGTGAGCTTTTCCAACAGGACTGAGGGCCACTTTCAAATTTTTCTTAAAATCCATAAATTTGAATCTGTTGATTATGTCTCAAAATAACCATTCTACTGACACCCTTACTGAGCTCATGGATTTATTAAATCTTTCCATGTCGGCTGTTACCACTGCATTCCGGAAAGGGGGTTGCAGGTGAACACGTAGGAGATAGGCTGGGTCTCCATAGATGCACATTGGTTCGCCAACCTCTGAGAATGCAAATCTTTCAAGGTCTGCAAGAAGCCCTGACTGAGCAAGCATAGAGGCATCATGTTTCTTTCCCTCTAAAATCATTTCGAAAAGAACAGCATTGCATGAAGAATATATACATGCATAATGTATTTGGTTGATCCATGTCCTGATCCTGAATTTAGAGAAAGTGTGTGTGTTGGGGGGGGAGGGGAGGTTGAGTACACTGCCTACCTTTCAATGTTTTGGGGTGCACCTCCAGTAAAACGTGTGCAAAAACGTCCACTAATTAATACAT